ATAAATAAAGCAAAACTGAGTTATGTCGGTTTCCATCGCAATCGTCACAATTGATATTATGCTAAAACGACAAACTTTAAGTTAATTTGTAGTTTTGTTTTCATTTCTATACAATTAGTTAATATTAGTAAATGATTTGAACATGCGATGCACGTTCATGCTTGAAGCATACGGCACGTATTAAGTAACGCAAATGGTTGCGTGTAGTTACTAGGGCAAGAAAAATCCTGGTGAGGTCAAATTAAATCGTGGACAGATGCAACCCGTTTGATTGTATGACGAACGAGGAGAACAATAACGTTACGCATCATATCGCCGTACGTCTTGCCTAATTAACAAGGAAACATTCCCTCTTATTGAGTGTGGTGTTTTTAATCATTAAAAGAAAGTCATTAGCGGTGGAATTCGCTGTGTATCAGTAAACATGAAAGGTCCAAGCCCTTAGCAAATTCCTCCTAAATGTCACCACCAGTTAAATGAACAAAACACATGGGCCACCGTTTTCATTTCGCAAGACAAAAATGAGAATGATGTTTGTTTTTTGGACATGTTTTCGAAGCAATCATAGTTGTTATTCGAGATATAATTATGACGTTGATGCTGGCCTTCGTTCAACTAAACGATGTAAGGTGCGTCGCAGGTTGCAACCTGTCCAGTAGGCAAATGACTTTATTTGCTGCAGATATGTGACGCGCTAACAAGGACGTTATAATCAACCCTTTCAATTTCGAGAATGTTGTCGTTAGGCTTGCTTAACTACGCATGCGCACATCACGATTTCACAGCTTTCGCTTTCATGAATAAGTCATGTTAGTCTATGGAGGGGAAAGTGTTGTCAGGAACTCTCAATGCAGTTTAAAAAAAGAAATATATAGTTTAGACATTCGAAGTTGAAGTATAACCAAGACCTAGTACTTAAATTTAAATGTTTGGCTTTTAATATACAATGTATTTGAATGGAAATGAAACATAAACAGAAAACGCGGGTCAATTAATGAAACCTTATCATTTGTTCTAAGGCAGACCGTGAGCTAGGCCTAGAAAGCATTTGGTAGAAAGACAAAACAACTGCTGAGATCGACCTTCAACTTGACCAGATTCGTTTGGTATGTATGGACCCTTACATCGGAACCGCAGAAATGGGATTCTTTTCAATTGATATCACGATTGAAATTCGAGCTTAATAATGACACCTCGCTCTACCACACCGACCTGTTGAGGCAGGCAGACGTTTGTTTCATACGAAAGTATAAATAACATGTAAGTGACTTCTACGAATTCATTCGCGCCTCGGCGGTCATGGAGAGCTGGTTCGTCAGTCTAAACTGGACGTTTAGCATGACAGCCATTACCATCGATGCGTGCATTTTGAAGGCCTCTTAGCCTAATGACATGCTGCACGATGTTCAAATTTATACAGATGGCGGGAATTGGGGACTATCGCTGCGAGCCAGGCGCCCATATGACAACAGACATCTCAACACTTCGGCGTGTGTTTATATTACTTCTCTGAACGCAGAACAGCACAGCCATCCAGGCGAGGTAAATTTTAATAAATGTCACAGGGATAACTAAATTGAACTTATCAGTCATCAACTTGTACAGGTGACTTGTTTCAAGTGCAAATGGGCGCCCTGCGTGCGCGTATGCTCAGCCTATACAGGAGGAGTTTGCGATATTCTCGGAACATGCAAATGGTCTGAATAAGAGGCAAATAAATTAGCATTGCATTAAAAGACGCCCCACAATGCACAACGGGAGTGAATAATTGAAATTGATGCTCACTTCATCAATTATGACGAACTCTCCCAACAAAGCACACGTGCGGGTCGTGTGCATTACATTCAGAAATAGAGCATAGCGCGGGCTTTTTTTTATTACAAAAAATAATTTTTCATCTATCTTATTTTATTTTTTGTGAAACTCGATCGAGAATATGGGCAGTTACATTTTATTGGAAAAACATTTCTTCAAAATATATTTCAAAATATATTTGAGAAGGCGAAGAAAAAATGGAATGAAAGAGCGTATTTTTGGACCATCAGGACACAAAACAAAACGGACCACCAAGAACTTTTTTTTCGAAATCAATAAAACAACTAACTCTTTGCTAATGTAGAACCGAGCAGTGGCCTATATACATATACATATACATCTATGGCATTTTCGGGTGTATTACAGCACACGTGCAGGCAGTTTGAGAGGGAACATGACAGAAACCATAAAACCAGAAATGATGCGAAAAAATTACAAGATTTTAAATTTTTTTAAATTACAAGTATTTAAAATTTCTGTATTGGGTACAATTATTTCGACACGGTTCAGGAAATGGCATCCGATTTTTGATTTCACTGCTTGCGGGAAACTATCGAACAGACATTGGAATATAAGGAAAATAACGTTCCAAGTTTTCCTTCTTTGAAGAACTAAATGTGTAAAATGCAGATTCTACGTTGGAGGCGTGTCCAATTTAAGTTTGCCCGTAGGCGTCGAGAGGGATGGCTAGCCTACATAGACGACTTCTTTATAAATAACCAGGAACAGAAGTGACCTCAGATTATTATTGCCATTTTATTTTGTAGCAACTTACCTGTAACATACGCTTGCTGAATTAAGGACGATTATCACACATTTTCATCACAATCTGACGTCGTTTGGACGGGAACTGACTGGTCTCCCGAGATTTCTAGAAAACACAGAAAGCCACGTGGATGGAAGTTGTAACAGTCCAAATAGGTAAAACACACCAGGTGACGACATGTGGCTCTGAAATTACCCTTCATTTACATAACACGGACGGACATTATGAGAGATTCAATCACTATAGACAAAGACTTTTACTACAGCATCCCACAACTAGAATTACACCGACCGGTGTTTCCTCAAACATCGAGCGGAGAATGCTCGCCTCGGCACCCGTCACCTAGCTCGATAGTGCTACACACACTGTACGGATAGCTCTTCCGTGTTCAACACCATGATAGCACGTCTAGGCCTTATAGGTCATGCCATTAGACTCCACGTCACCCATCTCCGATATAACATACTTTCCTCCTCACGGGAAAAAAAAACCCAGTCGCTTGGCCTGGCTCTCTCCATGCAATTTCCCTTTTGTTGATTAGTACGCGCTTGTATTTAGGTTCTCCGACCAATGGATTTGACCTTTGGCACCGGGGCGTTGCCCATGGTAACCGTATCCCGCAACAACCGCGTGTCGACGATGAGGCGGCGTTTTATAATTCGGCATGGTTTATGTGTGTTTTCTTTTGTAATGTGTTTGTCAACATAGCTTAGATGGATGGTTAAACATACGTTGTTTCACTGCACTGTTTCTACAGGTTCTAATGTACTTAATGGGGGAGGTTCAAATTTGCCGGCACGGCGTTAATGGGAGGTCTGTGCGTGCTCAAGCAAGCGAACGGTATAAATGCATCAAGATGAGGCGGGTAATTCTGGATTTAACCACACGTCTTGCTGGGTAAGGTCCAGACATTTGCTCTGTCGTCAAGAGAGAGCGGAGAATGAGAATTCCTGTATAAATTTCTTGCTAACAGGCTGCATTGAAACATCTTAGCATTCTACACCTATAACCTCTTCAGTCGTGTGGAGAGGTGTGGATTAAATGTATATGTTTCAGTGTTCTTTCGAGTTTTCTTATTTGTTAGTTATAACAGTTTCTTTGATTATTTGGGGTTTTGTCATGCTTTTTGAGTCAAGAAAAGGAGGGGGCAGTTCCCAGAAGTGTCACATAAGGCCCCTACTTGACCTCCTCTTTGTTTCCATTACCTATTCCTATTATGAGAGTGGCCCACTCAATGGCCACTCAAGGTGGGGACTACACCAAAAAGTAAGGAATTGTAAGAAAAGGGGGAAAAATACTTTAAGTAGAAAATAAGCATTAATATATCAGCTTGAACTTGGAAACAAGATACAGGTAAGGAGTCCCATAGTGAGGCAGTGCGTGGGAGAAGACTGTTTGCAATGGACGGGGGCCGGACACCGTGCGCCTACTGGTTCGAGCGCGCATAACGGGAAGTACGCACGACTATATTCTGAATGTGCACAAAGCACTAGCAATATCGCCTTTGCGTGTCAGGCGTCGTCGGCATTGCGTTCGAATGTCTCTCCAAGACTGGTCTCCCACAACTCCCCTTCTCTTACTGTTGAAGGGGTACTTGTTTTTGTGAACGGAGTCCGTATAGCGGCGCAAAGGGTTCAACAAATCCCAAATTTATTGATTTATTATGATTTCTTTAATAGTCAAGGACCCCGTCTCACACCCCCCCCCACTTTCACCCTTTTTGACGGAATCAATCACTTTTGACTCCAGATTTCTTTGCTCATTTGATATTGCTATAGGTTTATAAAAACTTTGTAAACAAAATGCATGTATCGTTTAAAAAATCACGTTGTAGATGTTCATCATCCTTGAGCTTTACAAAACATTAGGTGCGGAATTCCAGCAGAGGGCGCTGTGATCATGAAGTGGAGGTATAAGTTGCGTACCCTTTGCCTTTTGCAATAAAATAAAAGCGTAAAATCCACCATCTTCAAAATTTGAACAATCGTGTTTTTTTTTTTAAAAACGTGATGAATAAATTCAGTACTTTAAGAAAAAAACCTTCCAGATTATAAAAACAATCCTTATACTATAAGTTATAGCTTCCAGTCGAGGAAGAATGGTTAATAATTATGTATGTAGGCCTAAAATACCATTTGAAAGCAATCTGCCGTCATTTGACCCTTTTCTACTAAGGCATACACCTATGGAATTTTCAAATGCCAATTTATTGTTATGGGTAATCCTAGACAAATATAATTTGGAAGTTTCATTTATATCTTGGACCACTACAGTTTTGACCAGCAATGTTGTTATGTTTCTGACTATCACGGGTTAAGAGGGGTCTCACAAAGCACGCAAGGCTGAAAGTTTCCATCGATTTCCAATAACAGTGATCGTCTACAAGGAATTAATAATTCATCAGTTAATTCCCTGCCTGCTGACAAGAGGACAGGCCTCGGTGGTGCCAAGGGGCACGGGTCCAAGATACCGCTATCGATTTGTAAAGGTTGTACGGGACCGCTCGACACGGTATCTTTGAAAACCAAAACACCTGAGAATCTTTCAAGATGGCTGCGAATGTCATCACACTCACGACGATACTCTTACTGAGTTGGCTTCCACTTCTAGATTTGCAGGTATGTTTAAATTAACCCCCAAAATGATGCAGCTGTGGTGTGAAATCTCACAGACAGTAATATCAACGAGAGCAAATATGTATTGTTACACACTTCTCTCCATTTTTTCACTTAAGACCTTCATATTAAAAGCAAAATAATATCGAAACATACCAATTGCGTATAGAGATCATTAATTGCTTTCAATACAAAGGCCTATGGTAAGTTTAAAATATACGTTAAAAAAAAAGAAAAATAAAGGCAGAAATAAACTACATGCTTTATAATAGGTGTATCTCTTGTAACGCGCGCCTGCCTGAATGCAAAGACAAAGGTTTTTTTTTAGGCCTCCACAATGTTCTACTGTGTAGAGTAACTTAACTTGATTCAATGAGTGCTATCAAACCCCTCGCTGCAGTTTCTATAAAACCTTGCAATCGACTTAAATAAAAAAAATTGCCTACTGCTTGATTTCCCCAATATGAATAATTCCGAAAATGTGTGCACATTTTGTAAAGTATGTTGAGTCGCGTATTTTCGCTAATGATCGAATCATTTTTGGTTTGGTTTTTAATTGTTAATATAGTGTGTCGGCCCAAAGGGTGCACCAGGCCCACAAGGCCCAAAAGGTGGTGTGGGCGACTCAACTGACGCTGACTGGCGTAACGTCTTGCCCGTCCGCAACTGGCGACAGTGCACGTGGGATTATGGCGACGGTAGAGATTCTGGCGTCATTTACGTAAGTCCACACACTACCAAAAAGCAGTGATGGAAAGCCAGAGGAGAACTGGCGAGTGGCGAGTAGGGTTAATACCTGTGTAAATTAGATGTAGACACTCCTGTTACCAGTTATGAGAAAACGAGACTTGCAGGATAGCCATTCGAGGAGGTAGCTAGCCAGCTGGCTAGGTAGGGGAGGGGCCTATACAGTGCGCCATTACCAGACTGGCCTGCAAGTTAAAACTGCCTAATTGGTCGCAAGCCCCAAAACTAGCAAACGGAGTTGATACTTTTGGAAAGGATACACTCTTGTTATTATTAACAGAGAAAAGGGAAACTGACAGGAAAGTGTCAAAGACCGGTGATGACCGATTAACGGTAGGCCTGAGGTGCGCCTCAAAGCACTCACTTCCAACGTGCCAAAGTTAAGGTTGACTTTCATTGTTTAAGATTTAGCAATAAGTCAATCAAAACAGGCTCTGACGCGATTTGTTGGGCTGGGTCAAAAGTGTGCAAAAAGAAGAGCCAATTGAAGATAGGAAAATGATCGACCCCCCCCCAATGATTCATACAAACAGTATAACTTTAACTTTAATTTAAACAGTCAAATGTTTCATTTTTTATTAACATGTCTACCAGACCTGTCAGTTCGAGAAGAAATTTGACAGTACTTCCATATTCATGGCCTACGGTGGTAACACAAGAATAACCAACTGCCACGGTTGCTGCGGTCGCTGGTACTTCACCATTAATGGTGCTGAATGCAGTAATCCTCAAGTCATAGATGGGACCGTGTATATGGCGCACTTTACTGCGGCTGACCTCCACCGCCACCGAACGGTGCAAGGCAAGTATGAACCTTTCTTTGCTATGTCAAGCCGTTTGATTTTACGGAGGCCAAGTGTCCGGGAAAAAAGTGCTTACATTTTACCACGGATGTGCAAGTGCCCCTTTTAAATTGTTTTACCCCCCCCCCCCCAATCAATATGACCGTGCTACGCCACTGCAATTGGTAAGGATGGCCACTGAATAATTCCACAAAGCCCTACTAACAAACAAACAAACAAACGCCCCAACACCCCAATAAACAAACTGGCGATTACCAACGATACATGTAAAACCCTGTACATAACAGAGAGATATTTGTAAAATGCCAGCGTCTTTGGTTCACTTCCCACACGAACGAAACCAGTATTCAGAATCGAAGGTGACATGTCACAGTCATGTGGGTCATTTGTTTATCGATACTCATCGTTCGGTTTATGTCATTCGATTAATCGATTTTCTTTCCACTTGAAAACACTGCAGGGTACTGTAATGGAATAAGTGCCGGTTGGATTGACGTCACCTTTAACGTGGGCAACTGTAACGGCTATGGCAGTTATGATTTGTACACGGGATGGAATAGTGTGTCTCGGATAGTGGTGGAAGAGTTTCCTGCCTCCCCTTATGGCTAAGCGTAAATGGAGGCAGAGTAGTCTGGTGGTGCCGATTTGTTTCAGTTGTGGACGTATATAACTTGAAATTCCTATCGAAGCCTATAGTTGACCCCCCCCCCCCCCCCCATCCTAAAGGTGCGCCCTCTGACGTTTCCCCAAGTGATTATCGCAGTCATGTGATCAGGTGGTCTTCACGCAAAATGGTCTCACGTGATCCTTTTTAAACGATCCCGAATCCCATACGAGTCATTGATGAGGCGCATACCAAAACTTGCTACATTTGAGTTGAGAGAATCAATTCCGCTTTAACTTTATTTCTTTGTTAGAACAACAGATAAGTTAATCCCAAAATAATACTTTTTTGTGTGCTTTACTTTTTGTTTTGTTTGTGGAAAAAGAATTGTGATTATTATTTCGAGGAATGTTGTGCACAAAATGACCTCTAACCCCAATTTCCCCTTATCCCACCCCAACGAGTTGGTATATGCATGTTTTGGACCACGAGCAATCGATCTAGCCTATTTGCGACGGTAAACTTTTGCCTCTAAATAGGAGCTGTGACATTAGGGAAACATTGAAATGTCTTCTTAATGTCCGGTGTCTCCCTAAGGTATAACTGATGAGGAAAATGTCTCCTTAAGGGTACATTTACACGGAATTTACTAAATGTATGTTAATTAATAATTATGAATAGGTATATTTTGACGCACTACGTTGTTGTCTATATAGATTCAAAAAAGAGGTTTTTAACACCAATCGAATTATATACAACGTATTAATTATTAGAGTGCAGCTTTAGTTGGCTGCGACAAAGCTTCACTTACTAGTCTTGAAGTTATACGATTTTGTCCATAGTCATTTAAATTAGTGTTGTCTGAAAATACGAGGGGACTTAATTAACCATCAAGGAAGAAGGAAAGAACATAGCATTTATTACCGGAGAAACTCGGTGGAATAGCCGAGACAATAAAACATTACACCTGCACGTTATGAGTCAGTGTCGGGTCAAGTTTATTTAAAGGTGTACTTGCATACAAAATAGGAACCGCATTAAACTGCTCGAACTACCGAATTTGTTTTTAAAGGGAAATTAATCCTAGAAGAACCATTCCGTTACCAAGTGACACCTGTGTATTATGGTCATTGACTATATTTGGTTGCACAAACAGTTGCCGGCTGGGGAGCCAGGCGCCAGCCGACAAATCAGCTGGTTCTATTGGACGGATAGGAACCAGTTAAGGCTTCAGTTTTTTTAGTGCTCTGACCGGCTCTGAGCCAGCTAGCAAGCCAGCTTATTTTCCAAAGGGACACCGGTCCGAAAAACTCACCTTCAGGAAAAAGCCGAAAATTAGAGTTCTGTTTCATATCCATACATACCCATAGTGACTAGATGGATTAAAATAAGTTCTCAAGAACTAGTACCATGCAGTCAGTAAAAAGACTATTTGCCGTGCGAAGAGTAAAAATACCTTAGAGAAAGGTAGTTCCAAGAATTATATTGACATGCGATCAGCAGACGTTGGTCACGGATGACTTCATCCTTGAAATCGATCGAGACATTTCATTGTAATTTCTTTTTGTTTATTAGTCAATATTTTTTTGTCCAAACTAGACGTACAATAGGGCTCACTAGACAACATAAGTCAACAGTTGGGATCCTAGTACCGATTGGGTCGACCGATCTTGATCTAGCATGAAACTCGCCTGTACAGAGTGCCACTCAGGTCGGTCGAGATAGGACCGACGGTTCCACTAATTTCCCGCCGCTATCTCAAGAACACACTCCCAAATGGCGACAATTACTGTCCAAGGAATACTGTTTTTCGTGGCGATTGTTTTGGAGTTTCAACCCGCAGATGCCTGGGGCTCGGTAAGTCACTGGTTCGATTTTACAAATTTACTACATGGCTTTTTGTTTTACTGCTGAATTGTTACGCAAAACAAACATTGTGCTTAATTGGAGTAAGTTACAAGTAATGAAGCATGTTGACTACGCCGTAAAATCTAAAACTATCTTCTCCCGCCTCGATTTGGGATGTTGGTCACAATAACCCAAGTCATAGTTTGGGGAAAACAATTGATATGGTAGAGAGTTAATAAAATATTTAATCTTAGAAAAAAAACAGAATCTGAAAGCAAAGTGAGGTTGAACACAATATTTTATGGACTTGTACTTTATAGTTACCTCTGTGTTCCGTTTCAGTTCGATTAAACTATTCGATTTCTTGGCACATTCTCCTTTTCCTCGCCAACAGACCTGCGACCAGGGTTCTCCTGGCCCGCCAGGACCCCCGGGCCCGCCTGGCCCCAGCGGTGACTCAGGAGCACCTGAATTCTTAGACTATATTAACTGGAGACAATGTGCTTGGTACTCGGATAACGGCAACGATTACGACAGCAATATCAACGTGAGTACATTTCAATGTAGACTTATTCATGCATTTATTTTGCTATTGACGACCGAATGAGCTCCCAAGAAGTTAAAAGTATTTAAATTTGAGAAACGATTATCCAACAGTAAGTCATTTTTGGAGTGTTAGAAGTTGAATCCATATTCATGAGGTTATTAACAATTGCACTGTGTAGAAAGCTCGCCGAGTGCTAATGCATCCTTCCATATCGGCACTCTTTCTCAATGTCACCGTTGAGGGGGTGTTTTGATTAAAGTCAAAGAATCTCTTTGTTTTCAAATGTCCATCAATGCAGTATCCCTCCTCACACTCTATACCTTCCATCACAACTGTCATTTTTGGGATTTACTGTGCCGTGTTCCAGGGGTAAGCACTGTCGTTAGACCTATCTCATCTCTTAAGTACGCGTGAAAACATCATTTAAATCAATGCCCGCCACATTACTTCAACCATGGGCGTCGCCAGAATTTTTCTAAAGGGGGGCAAAACATATCCCCCCCCCAAAAAAATCTTGTATTTCTCAACTGGCATATTCTTGAATTCTCAATTAAGGGGGGGGGAGGGACATTTTGCCCCCCCCCCCAAACTCATTAAATATACCCCACTATGACTTCCCGCCTCTTTTTCTTTTCTTTTTTTCTCTCTTTTTTGTTGTTGTTGTTTTTGTTTTGCTTTTCATTGGGAGGGGGGGGGGCAATCTCCCCCCTTGCCCTCCTCGCGACGCCCATGACTTCAGCCAAAAGTCCTGCTGTCCTTGGATTGAACAGTGACCACGTAGTACGCTCAATATTCATATTAACATTTTTTGAGAATTTATACTGTCTAATTAGACGTGTACCATCCAGAAGCGTTATTCCGACAGCGCCCTCTACGTCGCCTTCGGGGGCAATCTTCGGCTGTACGGTTGTGACGCTTGTTGCAAGAGATGGTACTTCACCTTTAATGACAACGAGTGCTCGCCTGTACCGATAGATGGCGCTGTTTACCAGACCAACACGTACCATATGAATCTACACAGACACCGCAACATCGAAGGTGAATCGCGTTTGTTCAAGTTGTGCCGTCTCTTCCAAAAGATGATGGCATTGGTTCTCAGTCATTGTATGGAGCCTTACGTACAGTTCCAGAAATACTAAATAAATGTTCCTATAAACATTAACTACGATAAACTCTTACTTGGTACTGCTTGTTCCCAGAACCTCACAAATTCACAAGATATTTCTGCGACTTTCTCGTCGTCACCATGTAAACCTCCAATATCTTCGTGTGCAATACCCTCACGTCTCATAAAAGCTGGATTTCTCATTTTTCAAGTTCGGTTCAATAGTCTGATGACAACAAATCACCGGGTCTAAATTATCTTAAAGGGCTCATGCAATGTGTTTTTCTTTTAGATACACATTTTGTGTCTCACCGAACCTTATTTTCAATTTTCGTTTTGACATTTTTAAGTGTGTCTTGTACCTTTTTGGTGTTCATGCTAGTGCGATTTTACATATTAGCAAAAGTGTGATGTTACATTTGGCAGAAAACTCAATGTTTAAGCTATTTCAGCACTAAAGTTGCCACACGTTTCGATATTTTGCCGTCATAAATTGTCAGTACACGGCAGTAAGCTAGAGAGTAAACTTTTCGCACAAAATGTATTTACTGAGCGAATTTGTGGGTTCACAATTTTGAACAGAAACCCGTCGTCCTGAAATGACATCACAGCAACAGCGCCCTCTGTTACCCACAAAAGCAGGGAAGATTTTAAATGTCTAAAGATAACGTTAACCAAAAAGGGATGTAACATAGTTTTCCTTGTCCCTGCCCCCCTCTAAAAATGATAAATCGAGAATATGTTGGGAAATACAGGAATTTTTTTGGGAAAATATGTTTTGCCCCCTCTAGAAAAAAATCCTGGCGAGGCCCAAGTTAAGAACGATGTGCTCTATGAACCCCCCCCCCCCCCCTGAAAAGACACACAGTGTAAAATCCTGTTCGTAGTGAGCCAGCACAGTATTATTTTGTGATTATAGTACTTATTCTTTTTTATTTCCACGCCTCAGGTTACTGCCATACGCTGGGCGCGGGGCAAATCCACGTTCGTTTTGCCATAGGTGACTGCCCAGGATACGGGAATGCAGACGGCAGCACAGGATGGAACAGCGCCTCACGCATTATCGTTAGGGAGGTACCTGCCTCGCCTTACGGATACTAGATCGGGCCGAACCTCAGAACCTCATAACCTAACCTCATAACAGAAAAACGTTATTGGAGAGTTCCTCCTCGTTATCAATTGATGGGTGCATGGGAGGTACCTGCCACACCTTATGGACACTAGATCGGGCGGAACCTCAGAACCTCATAACCTAACCTCATTACAGAAAAACGTTATTGGAGAGTTCCTCCTCGTTATCAATTGATGGGTGCATGGAGGTACCTGCCACACCTTATGGACACTAGATCGGGCGGAACCTCAGAGCTTCATAACCTAACCTCATAACAGAAAAACGTTATTGGAGAGTTCCTCCTCGTTATCAATTGATTGGTGCATGGAGGTACCTGCCACACCTTATGGATACTAGATCGGGCGGAACCTCACTGAGCCTCATAACCTAACCTCATAACAGAAAAACGTCGGATTAGAGAGTTCCTCCTCGGTATCAATTGATGGGTGGGAGGCACCGGCCTCACTGCCTAACCGCACGGTAATTATCAGAACCTCAGTGTAGTTGAATTGGTTTATTCTCACATTATTTTAGATATGGCACAGCCTTTTCCTCATGAGCCGAGAAAGCTGACTAGGCCATTCAAGCAGATCTTAATAACACTAACTACATGTAGATAGTACTAGAGTACATCACGTCGAGTGGATTCCTATCAGCTGGATAGATTGAGCAGGAACCTCACTGTGTGACAAGTGTCGGCATATCAAATTCGACACTGTTATTATGTTCTTTAACGACAAATAAACCGAACCAAGAGTTCAGTTAGTTTGAGAAGTTTTCAAAGAGTGGCGATAAAATGAATCTGTTGCAAATATTTGTCTCTACACAGTTTATTTCCATCATCATAATATTGAAGACTACGACGCGTTCATGGTACATAATGAATAAACTGCATTTGCACATTGGCTACACTGTCAATTTATGTAACTTGTAGTTTGGCAAGGTGCCACGCAAGATACGGGTCTACAAAATGCTACTGACTAAGTCGTTGATCGATATCTAGATCGCCATCTTCATGCCCACTTTGGAAGACCTATCGATTACGATGCAAATAACACTGGACACTGCACTAGGAATCAATGAAGAGGTGTCGATTGGGGTGGATTTATACCCTCCGTGAGCACGACGTAAATATAACGAACAACCTTTGTGCTTCTAGGCTTTTACAATAATTAGCTTCATAATCAGAACATAACCTGCTGGCGAAGCTTTTCATGTGTCCGTGAGCTTTCGTTTTTGCGGTTTATGTTGACAGTCTGCTTTTAACAGAAATGACCTCAACAGCGACCTTGGGTCTTCTGTTATTTTTCGGCGCCATTACTCTTCTCAACTTTTCCCTTGTCGATACATGGGGCTCGGTGAGTAATATTTGTCTCCATGCATTGCTAAAATGAAAACTTAAAAATACCGAAATTCTATGTATATTTTTTGTTTGGCTTTCCTTCTTTCCCCAGAATTATCAATCCATACTTGTTCTGTCTTTAAATTGCTCTCTTATCTTACCATTACCAGTAGTCTGTGGGAGGTGAATGCGTATTTGTTTACTCGACATTTCGACCTGTATTCTCTGACCATCATCATCAGAGGAATGAACATTGGGGATATTCATGTTGTTGTTGTTGTTGTTGACGACGATCAGAGCATCGTAACCGAAACGTCCGATGATTAATTGATGTATACACCTATCCAGCTTTTGTAATTAAGGGCTTTGGTTAACCTCTTCATTGTCAATTTAATTAACAAAATTCTTGAATGGCATTATTCGGCAGTGATTATTATCAACTTTCCATATTTGTTCTTATTCTCAACAGACCTGCGACCAGGGTTCTCCTGGCCCGCCAGGACCCCCGGGCCCGCCTGGCCCCAGCGGTGACTCAGGAGCACCTGAATTCTTAGACTATAATAACTGGAGACAATGTGCCTGGTACTCGTCTAACGGCAACGATTACGACACTAACATTAACGTGAGTTTGGTTGTTTTCCTAACCCTTTCTTTGTCTATAAACACACTAAAAAGAAAAGAAAAAAAAACAGTGGTGTTAATTTGGATACATTTGTGTTAGATATGGAGTTCAGTTTTACAGCAGTGGTCTCATTACACCGTCGGTGTTGCATTTACACCGCAGGTATTGATTCGGTTTCATCGCCTGTAATATCCAAATCCCTTGAAAATACTCCAAGCATTTGGCCTCATTCATTTCATGTTACTAGAGTTGCATGTTTTTAACGCGTAATATGCAGAGCCTTTTTGAGCTAGTGTCCCCCCCAACAAAATATCAGGTGAAGAATCTCCTCGACACTCAGTGGCGGCGCCGGGGGGGGGGGGGGGGGCAACTGGGGGGCAGAAAATATATATATTTGTTGGAGGGGGCAGTCAATGGTCCAGAGAAATAAGCCACTAGAGCAACTTTAATAGAAATGTAGTCGTTTTTTATGAAGGAGAAACTATAATCAAGCTGATGAATGGTGTTAAACAAATGTATAACAAAAAGTACGAAGACGATTTTTTGGGTGCACACTATCTACGGTACAACTGTATAAATTTGCATGTGTGGCGTGTTATCTACCAAAGTAATGTTTATAATGCTTCATTGGCCCAAAATGTGTCCTCAGAACCGATGACTCACTCTCTAACTTCACCTTGTTATGAATCTTAACAGTAAAGAAAATAAACGTAATTACTTTATTTGTAAATAAAGTGTTGGGGAAAACTGAGGGAGCGGGCAAGGAAACAATACACACATGCCTCCCCTCCCCACATCGCAGCTACTTCATTCATTGTTGAATAGGGTTTGGGGATGGGGAACAGATCGGCATGGTTTCAACAAATTTGAGGAAAAAAAGAATGTCAATACAAAAATTACCCTAACACACACATTGACTATAAAAAATGATCAATCAATAATTATACCGTCGCTCATTTTCAGTCGTGTACCATCCAGAAGCGTTATTCCGACAGCGCCCTCTACGTCGCCTTTGGGGGCAATCTTCGGCTGTACGGTTGTGACGGTTGTTGCAAGAGATGGTACTTCACCTTTAACAACAACGAGTGCTCGCCTGTACCGATAGATGGCACTGTTTACCAGACCAACACGTACTATATGAATCTACATAGACACCGCAACATCGAAGGCAAGAATTTCTTTTTTAAACCTTGCTCGACATGAGAAAAAAAACCAAATCACATGTAATTGTTGAAATGTGGTAATTGTTAAAAGGTGGAGTTATTTCCACACTCTCCATCAAGAGCCGGGAAACCATGCCAACAGCAATCATTTTATTTTTGTCTGAATGTCATAAATCTTTGATTTTGGACTGTATGGAAATGGGACCCATATAGTTCATAGTTGTACAGACTCTTGGCAAATATAACACATAATACCAAATTTCCATTTTGGCTCCAAGTCGGTATGTTTTTGGTTAATGCTGACGTGAGGAGAAATATACTGACCCTTTCTTTCGATTATTAGTAATTTGACAAATGCATTATTTTGTCTCATGTAATCAGGTTATTGCCATACGGTGGGAGCTGGAGAGGTCATCGTTCGCTTTGCCGTAGGCGACTGCCCAGGGTACGGGAATTATGATGCGTACACAGGATGGAACAGCGCCTCACGTATTATCGTAAAGGAGATACCTGCCTCACCTTATGGCTACTAGACAACCTCATAGACCTTACCAGTCCTTAAAGAAATCTTGATTTCTTTGTGAGTGATGAGTGCGACTTTAAATTTTACAATTATAACTGTGTGCCAAAATTCCTTCAAAAAAATATCACTGAACATCACGACTTACGATTTTTTTGCTGCCTGACAAAAAAAAATCAGGTGGATTTCAATTTATGCGTCAGGGGTGCGAAGACAACCCAAAATAAAATCCTTTTTTTACGGGGAGTTGCAGACGAACTAAGGGGAGATTTTCCCCAATAAATCAAACACAGGCCTTTAAACAAATCAATCCGTGAGGAGAACAAATCGAACCGTTGAGGAGCACTTGATAGAAACTTTAGATAAGAAAATCCATGACGATGACATCACTATTCACGGTACTACATCTGATATTATTATTTTAACATCTAATTGCATGCATACAACTGTACACCACGAAATGGACAAGTGTCCTATTTACAATTTCAAGAATGGGCAATTCACACACACAAAACATTGTTACAACACTTGAAATAAAGCATTTGCATGGCACTATTTACAGTAATACCACATTATTCGCAATATTCACCAAGAATGAAAGATGTCGTTATAGCGTTGTACCAAACTTAACGCGAAAATGAGTGAATTCAACTGCTGCAAACTGCTTACTGATAAACAAATCAACAAAATAAAGAGGTTCTGATATTCAGGTCTTACCAAGACCTTGCCTCTGAAGAAGGTCTTCCTAAGACCGGAACTTCAGAACCCTCTGAATTCTTTTGGACTTGACTTAACGGTAAATATTCTCCGCTAATATCCGAAAAAAATTCAAAGAATTTCACGGGAAAGTCGCTCAAATAAAGTCAACACATTTATTGAACAGAGAAGACAGAACACCGTCCTGTTGAATGAAACGCAACAATTGAGTGATTCGCTGAGAAATGTTCTCTTGACTGTATGCAGCAGTCTTCAAATAATCATAAAATAAAAGTCAGTTAGCTTCTCGACGTTGCCTTTGCACAATATTATCCATATAAGCTGCAGTTCGGTTATCTCTCCAAAATTCGTACCTCATCTGAAACCTCCACTGACTTTGAAGCACGCAATGTCATTTGTTTGAATGTCTGAATGTTCATAGATCATTGTACTGAAGAACAGATTGTTTTCGAAAAAATTTGACATGTACATTGTACATATGTACCTGCTTTAGAGATAAAGGCCTATAGCGTACAAACATTTTAGTGCTTTGATTTTTTACACAAAATGTTCTCTATAGATTTTCTATATGCCGCGATGATATTTTTAATTTAATGTAAGGTGGCGATTATTAATTTTAACTTAAGACCAGTTTTTATTTGAATTCTTATTTTAAATGTTTTACATTGATTATCTAGTTACATGTATATTACTGTTTATACATTTTAACTTACCATACTGCTTTATCGTTTGTCTCTAAGGTTGCATTAAAAATCAATGTGTATCCCTTTGTTAAAGTTTATGTTCACATCTAGTCTTAACCCAATTAATTTTTGTTTGATCATTATTTCCTGTGCTATTTAACTAGAACTAGCCTGTGCAAATAAGACCACAATCTGGAAGAGAATGGACGAATAACTACAGAAATACAATGAAACTTACCCGATCCCAAGGCTTCCCAGAATTATTCCAAAGCACTGTGTTTTCCAAACAAACTGTTTTCCTGTGGTGAGTGAGATGGTCATATTCCGATGTGTACTCCATGGGCAATGACATGTGGTTCCTTCAGTCAAAGAGCTCTATGCACATATGAGGCGCTTGCCAAGTTTTTCTCATGGTTGGTGTTAAAATCTCCTCAGCTCAATCCCGTAAAAGACAGCATCCAAAGCATTGGATAATTTCAGAATCCAGTATATCATCCCAGCTGTAGCGTACATGTATAAGCTCCATTTGGCTTTGGGAGCTAGTAAGGGCAAACAGCGTGTTCGCACTAAACATGTGTGATTGTGAATGTGTGTGTGACTTCCATAAGACAAATTATGTGCAGCATGTGAAGAATGGAACAATTTTTATGTGCGCCCATCCGAAGGGTTAACAATAGGATCTTGCATGTAGGCGCACGCGCAGGGCCAGAAAAAGTTGAATAGATGGTACGAATCTAATATTCACAAGGTGGAGATTGTGGTAGTGGTATTTGCATAAACTATTGTAGATTTAAGAAATATGTTAAGTCGGAGAATAGACTCGGAACTGTAGATCGTGCAAGGAATGGACTCCACATTCCTAGCACGAATCCACAGTTCCTCGTCCATTCTCCTTATTACTGAATTCTACCATGCGCCTTTATCTTTTTGTCGGGCCAAGCGACCCTAATACGAGGCGTATCATCAGGCCTGCCTCAATTCAATCGTATGCGTACAGAAGTATGTATCACGTGTCCGTCACAGACAGTCCCCAGATACAGTTCTGACAAAAAACCAATTCAGACAGCGCCCTCCCTATGATAAAGCGATTGAAGATACTCAGCCAATAGAGGGCGGCCTTTATGTATCAGCTTATCTTGCATGAACTCTGTTTTAACCCCAGCCCCCCCCCCCCCTCTGGCCAAAATAACCTAATAAAATAAATAACACAAACACAATTAAAAATTAACGTTTTCTCCGTGTTTACTTCTTTTAATAATGCACCACGTGTTGACATGTACATGTACATGTATTGCATTCAAAAATAAATTTTTGCACATAAAAATTTGGAATGAAGAATCTTGTTAGGAGTTCTGATGTTGCGAGGTCCTACTTAAAATTTTAATGAAATACATGTACTTTTGGACTGCTGAAGGAGATAATACATGTAGTCTACACAAGCTCTATTCATTTTGTATCGTGCATTCTACACCCCGACCTATTTAAAAGAAATGTTAAACCCCACCCTGCTAGACAGCTAGCACCAAATTTCGGCCGACATTGTAAATTTGAATGGTTCAAAAATAGGGGCTTGTCCAAATTGAGCATAAAAACCCCCCACATTGTAAAAAAAAATAGTTTTTGCCTGCACATCTGATGTTGTTGCTTTTTCTGAGATGTTTAAGAGAAAATTATAATTGTATTGTTCAATGCAAGGAATTATTAAATGACTTCTCACATAACATAAGGATCAAATCAAGAAGAAAACTGTAGATTTATAACTATTTTAATATCATACAACCATTCTTTAATGTTAAACATTTTTTTCCATCAACACAATAATTCCACTCATTTGTTCACGGTCAGAAAGAAATGTCCAAGTAACTTTTAGTTTCTGGAAGTGTTGGCTGCACTCAGTACTTGAGTTTTTTTCTTGTTGAATTAAGAACTTTGATTTATCTTTTACTTAGAATATTTTAGAGGCCTTGATAATTTCAGCGACACACTAGCGCAGGTGGGAATAGCTTTTTAATGAATAATATTTCTGGTTTGTGAAACCACGACAGATAGCTGTGCATGTTTGGCACTTCTTTGAATCAATAAATAAATTAGTTAACATAATGCAACTTATGCATACTAATAAAATACAACTTGTCTTGAACAATGTAAAAACTCAAACACATTTCATTATCAAATTTCAAACACATTTACAAATGGTTTATAGTCGGTTCGTTGCAAGTGTTTGGTTGTGGGATAATGTAACCTCAATCTTTTACAAAGAATCTGGTTCTCAAAAAAAAAAAAGGAAGGACATGTACATTATTTCTTTTGGCACAGTTTTTTGCACTGGAACTGTTGAGGTACAGAGTGCATTTTACTTATAATTTATTACACAATATGTACAGAATGACCAAAAAAGCCTTTGTTATACAATTGTGCATTTTATTAAGGTTATGGGCTGTACAGTTTCAGTTCTGGTTGCATTGTTCGGTTCGTCATAGTGAACCATTAACGGTCTACCACTGCTTGAACTTGAGTTCAGTGAGACAGATTGCTTCTTGCAAGGGCAGCAACCGTGTGAGATTTCAATGATCTTAGTCAAGACTTTGTCGATAGGCTCCAGGGAGTGCATCCAATGGGGGAATTCCTCCCACGTCTGCAGCTTCTTGGGCAGGATTGATTTCTTCTTGCGCTGGAGGATATTGACGATGATGACAAAGATCATGAGGAGAAGGAAGGGAATCCCAACGCCCACTAGGACCCAGATGCTGATGAGAGACAACCCAAAGACAAGAAGAGGAAGCAAGAAGAACATCACGACCAAGTAGAAGATGGCAAACCAGCGATACTTGGCCGTGGTGTTGCCCAGCATCTTGGCTAAGTTGATGGGCACCTTACGCATGAAGGGGAGTGGGTACCAGATGAGGATGCCACTGATGTTGAAGAACAGATGACACAGGGCAATCTGGATGCTGTTGTCCAACTTGTCGCCAGAGCTAGCCAGGGCAGCAAGGATCCCAGTAGCAGTGGTGCCGATGTTGGAGCCCAGGGTCAACGGGAACATGCGGTCAAGCTTGATCACACCCAGTCCAACCAGAGGGGTCATGGCTGAAGTGAAGACGGAACTGCTCTGAACGATGAATGTGATGCCAGCCCCGACAATGATGGCCAGGGGGCCAGTAAAGTAGGCAAAGGGACCAGGGAGGTCCGAGTTGATGGTCTTCTGGATGATGTTAGCGATGCGACCCTTCAGACAGGAATGGAGGAGTTTGACCATCAAGACCAGGCAGATACAGAGCATGGTGAGGGAGAGGACGAGAAGGATGCCACCCACAGCCCTCTCAGACAGACCAGCATCAGCGATGTAACGGAACAAATAATTGCCTGCAAAGAGAAAAGGTTAACAATAATAAGTACTTGAGCAAGAAATGTATTTGAAAGACAAGTGCAAAACGAAAGACATTTTCTTCAAGACAGAATTTAAAAAAAAAAGTTGAGTGCCAAAACTAAACCCATTATAAAAAGACAAAACAGCGGTACCCGCTGCTATGTACATCAGATTCGAACCGGCCAACCGATCCCGTTAGCTCGGTGGTCGAGTGGTAAGACATCTGTACTAGAAAGCAGGAGGTCGTGGGTTCGAGTCCCACCCGAGTGATTTTTTTCAACTTTCACTCGGGAGGTAACACACTGAGTATACAGTGTTTAAAAAAACGTCGGTGAAGGGCAAAACCTAATTTGATTTATATCACCCCGACGCAAAAATTCCATCTTATAAGACAAAACCTCTTTCAATTTTTCAAATTAGTTTTGCCCTTCACCAACATGTAAACTGAAAACACTGTATACTCATAATATTATATGTATAACTCTTTCCATTTAACAAATCTAAGTTTTAGTACTTTTTTAGAGCAATAAAATAGACTACTAAATTAAAAATTATTTTTTGAAATGAACCAAAAATATATGCTGACCTTTCTTCAATAGCTTGGCATCAGTGGCATTCAACTCTCCTGTAGCAATCTTGCTGACAACTTTGCTGTCAATCTGCAGAAATAACAATTTCGAACAAAAAACCCAACAAATTATTCATTACATGTATTTATAATACAGGGCAGTGTTTATTATTGTTTTTTGTTTTATGAGGTTTTCTTGGTTGGTTAAAACATCACCAGGATGTGGATAAATAAATATAAATAAAAAAGTATCTACATCGAGTGAGACTAACTAGAACCGAGGTTAAGACTGATATTTTGTACTTACACTGATGATGAGCTTTGAGAAAGGCTTGGTCAACACCTTCAGTAGCTCCACCTTAGCCCCGCTCGTCCCCTGAATATGGAAGCCTTCAACAATGGCGTTGGTCAGGTGGTACAGGTAGTGAGTGGTAACTTCCAACGGCAGAAGAACGATGACAGAAAGCCAGTTGAACATGTCGTGAATGGTGGCACCAGCAAAAGCCCGGCGGAACTCATTGCGGTTGCCAGACTGGGTCAGTGAGACGATGGTGTTGGTGACCGACGTACCGATGTTGGCACCCATTATGATGAAAATGGCAGGCTTGACTTCAAGGACTGTGAAAAATGAAATTGAAAAAAAAAACCAAATAAGCACAATTTTCAAATTTAAACAAGTAAGCATGGTATTGGTTTTTAAAGTGAATTTAAAAGATCTTTCCTCATTTGAAGACCCCAGATGCAATAAATCAGAACATCATTTTGACTCGGGCACATACACGTAACATCATTGATGCCCATTGAAAAGTTTGTACCATTTGCAATTCCTGCACACTGGTGGACTTGAAATCTTGGGGGGAATGTTCTTAGGGAAATGGTTATCAATCAAAATTCAATTTCAGGAAAGTGGAGGCCAAAATGATCAGACTTTGAACTTACTTCCTGCAGCTACGATAGACACAACGATGGAGGTTGAAGTGCTGGAACTCTGGACCAGGACGGTGGCTAGGATGCCAATCATCAGGGCACAGATGGGGTTGCTAAGTAGCTCATTCTCGCTCAATACTTCCCCTGCCTCTTTGCCTCCTAGAAGACGGAAGGCAGAGCTCATCAGATCTAGAGAGCAGATGAAGAGATAGAGGAGAGCCAGGATACAGACAGGTTTGAGCACCCAGTCTACCAGGACCCGATGTGCCTTGCCACCAGTCGTCAAATCTGTACAATTAAAAATAAAACAAACCATCAAGTCAAATGAGAAAAGGTCCAGGCTTAATATATTTGAACAAAAAACCTGAATTAATCCACAAAAAAAGATGTTGTAATAGAATTTAGAATTTTGTTCCAGAGCTATTTAACCAATTAAAAAAAAAAACAGTCAACAACAAAAGACAACAATTGAGAGTGTTTTTTTTTTCGTGTTTCTTCAAGCTCAATTGTTTTTTCATTTTAAAAATTAAAATGTTCATCTTCCCGATATTTATTCATTTCAGGGATGAGATTGTCAAATTTAAACAGATCTGAAAATTTGATAAAATGTCTGAAAGATGTGTTGCGTTCTATTTCTGACAATGTCTTTCCATGGTCTTTCTCTCAGATTCAAAAGTACAAACATGACAAAAGTTAAGTAGGCCCCCTATAAAAAATCTCATGCCTGTGAGTGTGACTGACTAGACTGTGTATTGGCGGGGTAGGACAAGCTACATTCATTTTTAAGAGCCGACAATCATTTTTAACATCAAAATTTCATGCTGTCAGTTCAATGAAAAAGCATATCCGGCTCTCTACTCCCCTCAAATGGCTTTCTTCGAATGCAGTATTTATCAGCACTATGCCGGAGCCGGTTTCGATAATTCCAGTTAATCGCATGCATGACGTAGGAACAGAAAGTCTGACTATTGACAAAAGAATGTGTGGTGTTAATTTCAAAGAGTCTGGATGCCAGACTACTTTTTGCGGTTTGACATGTGAACACCACGCGCCGTCGTGCAGCAGCTGCTCGATCATGAGCTTGAACATCACACCACATATCATGCACACACGTGGCCACGTGTGTGCATGTCAGCATGATATGTGGTGTGATGTTCAAGCTCATGATCGAGCAGCTGCTGCACGACGTCGAAAATACTATAGTACAATTTAATTATAGTACAATGACAAACGGTGTGCAATTTTTTTTTAGAACAGTGCAGTTTACCATGTTTACTGGACAAATTTGGATTTTGATACAGTCATGACAGTGGAGGAAAAAAGATGTAATGCTAGGCCTATTTTATGCATTAGGTGATGAACATGATTAATGGTCGATCTTGATGATGATGATGGTAAATTTACCTGACCACTTCACCCCAAGTTGCTGAATATCTGGCGGTTCCCACACATCGATTGCTTCGACCCCCTCATCCAGATGACCCTTAGCCTCGTGTGCCCCTAGTTGACTGTCCATCATCAAGACCATCTGGTCAGGCATGTCAGGTGTAGCGTCAAGTCTCGCCAGATTCCCTCCCTTTTTCGTCTGCCCGAGAACTTCGGTCGTGAAGGGGAAGTCAATCTTTGTCTCCAATGCAAGTGGGGAATGGGGGCAGATATGGCCCAACATTGGTTCCACCTATGATACCGATGGGTGAAAGTTGAACGCTATATCAGTACCTAGTCCCTAATGAATGATTTAACATGTTTAACTTAAGTTTAAGCCGGCTTTTTAAACCGAAGTGAAGAGAAAGAGAAAAACAGATACTTACCGCCGATACCGGTATGGCTTGGGAAACCAAAACGATCTCCTCTTGTGGGCCGGCTTCTCGGGCATAGGCCGGTGGAGGCCCCGTGAACGGACTCTCTGGCACTGGTGTCACATGCAGTTGGCCGTCAAAGTTTGCCATTTCTAATAAATTATTCTTAGCAATGTCGAATGGACCTACCGTTTACTCAATGGTTTTTGCAACTGACGGTTTTCCGAGAGCGCGTAGTATTTTCTCCAAATTTGCCAGCTCGTCATGCACGTGGAATCCTGGTCCGTCGTCCAATCAGAACGCACGATTCCGATACGTCACCATACCTCGCCCGGAACTCTCCCACGGTTCATTCACAAACGGGCACATGTGAGGCACATGATCAGCGTGTGCCGTGCACGCAGTGCAGTGCTAGCGCAGTACGCGTAGTGCAAATCGATGGATCGGCAAGGCGGTCTCATTTTTTGAAGGGGTGGCAAATGATAACTTAAACATAAAGACTTTTTGCGTTGCTTTTCTGACTTTGCTTGGGGAAATCAAATTATGAAATTATCTTGAAAAAATCTATTTCAATTATCTTTAATAATACAACGTGATAAAACTGTGTTATACATGGAACGAATATTTCCCCCAAAAATGTCATCTGCGTCCAGCAGAATGGACTGGTCCAAAAGGGGGTTCCCCCAAAGTTAAGTTCCTCCAAAATTTGTTTATGTTGTGACTAGCTTCGTGAAAGAACCCGACCAAACATACTACTCAAATGTTGCGTCTGATGTCCATGTGACAGGCATACGTAAAATCTAAAAACGGCTGCAAATTTATCTGCAGGAGTTTGGCCCAGGTAGCAAGGAACAGCGCTGCGGTCTGCCCATATATGGACGCATGGGCGTCGCCAGGTATTTTTCTAGAGGGGGGCAAAACATATTTTTCCCCAAAAAATTCTTGTCTTTCTCAACATGTTGTCAATTTATCAGTTTTAGAGGGGGGCAGCGGGGACATTTTGCCCCCGCCCACCCCAACCCATTGAATTTACACCACTATGACTTCGCGCCTCTTTTTCTTTTTTCCCCCTCTTTTTTATTTATTATAAGATGGAATTTTGCGTCGGGGTGATATAAATCAAATTAGGTTTTGCCCTTCATCGGTGAAGGGCAAAACGTCGGTGAAGGGCAAAACCTAATTTGATCTTTTTTATTTCTTCCTTTTTTTCTTTTCCGGGGGGGGGGGGAGGGGAGTGCCCCCCTCCCGTCGCCCATGCATGGATGGGAGGAATCCATAGTCTTATAATGGAGGAAGGAATCGAGTCGCCTCGATTTAAAACAGCTCGTCTCCACTGATTCCTCTTCTATTCGGGTTTAATCATTTTGAACAATGCATGTTGCCTCCCCCAGCAGGCTCCCGGCGCCATCCCTCGCGCGCAATGGAGAAAAAAACTAAAAGTTCTATCTTGTTCAATATTTCAAAAAAATAAGGCCCACGCTAAAAAAACACCCGACTGACCTACTTTCCACCATTGGTCCTCTTTTGATCATATCAGTCTCAGTCGCCGTAAATCACCGTATAAATGAAAACAGAGGAGCTCATTACGTTCAAAACGATTCACCTTATTGCAAGGACATACGCTGGTGAATTAAAAAATAACGACTTCAAAATAAGCACGCGTACATTCTCTTAAAATATTTACGCAAAGCTACAGTCAACTCCCGTCGCGTCCCGACCCTTAACCGAATTTTAATATTGTTGACAGTTTTATCAATTCCGATGTTTATAAGTTTGTTGTCACTGCGTGTGTGGGGCCGGCTGTGGGCGCGCTCATGGTGTTCTCGTGATGTTGTATGTTGTGCATGTGACGGCCTGCTAGCAGGTAGTCAAAGGGGAGGCGATGCATGGCCCGTGAACTCTTATCAATATTTGCTAATAAAGTTCACAAGTTGACTGGGTAAACTTCAATATCATTCAGAGGTTATTTGGTAAAATGGCTATTAAAGCACCAAGGAAAAATTAAGATTGATGTTTAGTCTTATACTGTACGAAGTACGAACCTGCAGCCCCGCGTGCAGTATAGTGAGCCGAGAGAATACATGTACATTAAACATTTTCCTCCTCCGGGGGGGGGGGGGGGGGCAACCGAAATGAGACAGCTCCTGATAAAGCCAAGAAAAAGAAAATGAAACGGGGGTCAATTATCATACTGTTAATTTACATGTAACTATTATGTTTAACTAGGCGATGGGCTACGCACCTTCGGAAAAACGGCTTTGCCAAAAATTCTGGCGACGCCCCGGCGTGACCATATTTTTTCCCCGGCAACAACTGAATGTGTGTGCGCGGGTTTGTTTATGGTGTAAATCGAGGTGAAACAGTCACGTGAAAAGGCACGGTTAAATTGAGGACATCGACAGGAATCAACTGACCGAGGACGTCCTCGATAAGAACACATATGCAGATCCAATGCTGTTGCAAAACAGAGTATGAACAAAAGATCAATGATCTGGATTTACACCATAAACAAACGAGGGTGCTCATCCATGTACTGGGATAGAAAACACCGACTGCACCACTCAGACGAGATGTGCACTATTCTCAACTATAATTGTTACAAAAAAAGGCAATCAACAAGAGCTTACACAAAGTGCATAGGCGTAGCATGGGGGGGGGTCCCCCAATAATTTGTAAAGACTGCCCTTATCCATGCACTTTTTTTCCACCAGCGCTTACCCCCACCCCATAAATATTTTTAAAGAGTGCCCTTCTTTTGTTGACAACTGTGCCTTTTTTTCTGAACAAGCGAACTTTTTAAAAACAAATTTGTGCCTTGTTTTTGTTCCGTCGGCCGTTACGGGTGCCTTTGTTTTTGGAATTTCGCGCAGTGTATTGCCCTGCAAAGCATGCATTATATTGCCCCGGAGAATCGTAGGTTTTCCCACCCGCGACAGACTGACGGTACCAGGCCCCTCTCCCCTATAATTTGATTTCACGGAGGCCAAGTGTCCGGAGGGAAAAAAATGTCTAACTCAGCACGGATATGTGCAAGTGCCCTTTTCAAGAACATTTATCCCCCCCCCCCCGCCACACACACACCAAAAATGATTACAATAATTTCGCAACTGGAACTCAGTGACCAGCTGCCTATACATATTTATGCTGATCACGTTCAGGGTGCATCACCAAAATATTGTCCTTCTGTTCCCTAACCCCGCCCCTTCCGATCTTGCGCTTCGCAAAACAAGTGAGGGCGCTAATCATATATTACGGACATTGTCGGCGGACGGTGCATGTTGTGTAAACACAGGTAAAAACAGACCGGTGTAGTTTGTGACTAATTTGCTTTATTTAATTTGATCTTTAATCTTAAGCCTGACGGTACTTGTGCACATCTACAAAACATCCATCCATCCATCCATCCATCATACCTCCACGATGATGATGGCATGAATGATCAGATCAGCAATGCCTAATGCGATGGGCATTAGAGCTGGAGAGTTACCAACTCAAGCTAGTGCCGCCGACGGTAATTACGAACGAAAGCTACAGCGCAGAATACTGTACAAACTAAATCACAACTTGTACAACTACAAGTAACTTGGGATTGTAATTGCCAATGTCAATAAGTCATTATCTGATCATGATTGAAACTGAAAGGCCTATGTCTTCGTAATCATGCAAATGCAATAAATGATAAACTGCTGGCAATGAATTTGAGATTTTTAGTCATCGACTTTTGAAGTGCTGAGATAGTCGTCAAAGTAAAATCAAAATTTCTGCTTGCACTGGTTGCAGAAATTGTATTAAAAAAAAAAACGGTGTTGGAAGTAATACCTAAAATTCTACTAGCAGAAAATGGGAAAACAGGGTTGTCCACTTTTGATGCTCCGGCATAGTTAAATTGACAATTAGTCTGACTCTCAATGTCATTTAATTTGTGAGGGATCCTCTGGAAAGCAGTTTTCTTAAACTGAATGGACTCCCCTTGTTAATATTACAATAAAAAAAAATAGGTTACATTTCATCCTCCTTGTTTCATGTTTTTCATACAGCAGTTTTGAGGTAGAAAAGTAAGGATGCAAATAAGTTCAACAGTTACCATAGCAACGCAACCTCTACCCTCACGACTCCATGATGCAAGATCCTGTGCAGGTGGAGAACTCCTTCCAGCAGAATTCCGATCAGGAACAATTGCTTGATTCAAGAGAACTACAGTTGGAGAAAGGAATTAATCCTACCATTGGCGCTCATGTTTCATTACAAAGTACAGGTGGGCCTACTCACTATACAATCACTTTTTAGGCTGTGGCTTTTGCTACATGTCATCAAACAGAATTATTTGCTTGGTCCTAAAGGGTCAGCCTTGGGCCCCCTTTGTAAATCTCAATGACTGACTGACTGACCCCCTGACTGACTCCCCGTTTCCTACCTCCATGGACTGATGGACTCCTCGACTGACGGACTGACTCCCCAACCGACCGACTTATAAGCACTTGTGACTAATTAGCCTGATTGTAGGCTGACGAAGAGAGTCTGGCAGTGCTATTGTATAGGATTACCCTGTAATGCTAATGAGTGGGCTATACTGGCCCATTGTACAGACTAGTGCATGCAAAGACTTCTAGTGAATAGTCATTCTGAGTTTGACTGGTCTGAGCCCAGCTTAATGAGCAATGCCTGGTCTTGTTAATTATGCTTTTTTGTTTTTATATTCTTTTAGGTTCTGGCAGAGTAGAACACATCACCTATACAAGACGCTGGTACATCCTAGCCATCTTTGCGCTCCTGAACTTGGTTCAGTGTGTTGGCTGGAACACATGGGGACCTATAGCAGACACAAGTAAATACAACTTCTCTCAAGACAATATCCTGGCTTAATTAGTGGTGAACCCTTTCACTTTAGCATCTTCAAGAGAAGATAAGTCTTAGTCCTTGACAGTAACCATCTTCACTTTAGCATCTTCAAGAGAAGATAAGTCTTAGTCCTTGACAGTAACCATCTTGTTAACCAGAACTTTGCTTGTGGTGTTTTAATGTAAACCCTCCATGTGGTAGTTTTTTATTTGGGGGGGGGGGGGGGTACTAACTGCCTGCCCCTCTCAGACTACCAGTTTTCAGTCTATTCAGGCTCTTTGGGATGATTTTTTTGGGTTGTTGGAATCAAGAGAGAACATTCAATCAGAAATTTATCATTGTAAATTTGGTGCATTGTGTTAGTGTCATTCAGCTGGTAAACAGATCAGCAAAACATGAATAGGTTTGATGCTTTTAATTTCCCTGATATTACTTTTTGCAGGCAAGTTGGTTTTCAACTGGACTGATGGCGACATCGCCCTGCTGACAAACTGGGGCCCAATAACCTATGTTCTGACTGGACTCCTCTTTTCTTGGGTTTTAGACACAAAAGGTAAACTTTTTCATTACTTTTCATTTCCCCTGGATTTGGCTTTACACTTTTCTGTTGTAGTTGGATAAACTTTTTTAAGGCATGGGGGATTCCAATTCCAGCTCTTAACTTCCAACTGCATGTGTTTCTAATGGAGTCAAGAGAGATATGTTTCTTGTTTGTTTTTGTAGGTTTGAGAGTCTCAGTTGTCATTGCTGCAGTTCTGCTTTTCCTTGGCCTTGGTATACGATGCTTACCTGTAGGCATCAACAACACTAAATGGTAAGAGTCTAATTTGAAATACAACTTTAAAATCACTCATTAACAGATCCTGTACATCAACCATGTGTATGCTATTTACAAACAAGCATTTTACACACAACTTAAGTGATCCAGAGAAAGCTCAAAACTCCAATAGTGTTGTGCAGTTCTGAAAGGTATTATGTCACAAATGAAAAAGTTATGGCGAAGCCTGCAAGCATTCTGTGACTTTTGATATCATATTTTGCCATCCAAGTAGCACCCACATCTAGCTATACAAACTGATCTTGATAATAAGTTTGATACAGTAAGACATCCTCACAAGTATGTAGGGGTCTTGGGTGCGAGTCCCACTGAGCATGTTCATTAATTTTTCACAAGCTATTGTAATTTGTTTCTTACAAGCAGTGTTGTTTTTCTCCCCACGAGCTCTCAGTATTACTCGTACATTACGTCAAAACCTTGTTATGCATTGATCGTTATTTTGTTTCTACAGGACAGCAAACGTGGGTCAAATATTCATTGGAATTGCCAGTCCAGTTCTCAATGGTGCTCCAACTATCCTCTCAGCTGCTTGGTTCCCTCCTCATCAACGGACAACTGCTACCGCTGTGTCTACAACCTTCATCTATTTGGGTTTTGCAGTCTCGTTTCTGATTGGTCCACAAATCGTGACTGATATTGGAACAGCCAATGGGACAAAGTAAGAGAAAGGAATTTGTGAATTTGATGTTGTATTCATAATTTGTACTTACATTCTATTAATGCTTTATTTCCAAATGCGTAACTCTATTTTTCAGAGAGTTTAAGATTTGATATATCTCATGAAAACCCAGATGGCCAATGTTCGATTGTTTGTTTGTTATTAGCATTGATCCAGGTAACAAGAGTGACGGTTTGTTTGACTGCGAGACGTCCCTCGATCCAGGAGTCCGACAACACCACTTCAATCAGATTATGCTTCTCATATATATTGGTAAGAAAGCTTCTTGAATGTAACATAAAGTCTGGATAGCCGTGTTTAGATCCACATTTCACTCAAGTTGTTATTCATCAGTGGCTGTGAATTCTACAAGCCATTGTGAACATGTACAAAAAAAACGATTGAAGACATTTTTACCATTTTGTAGTGAATCGTGTTTCTTTTGTTCAATGCTAATATAAATTTCATGACATTTGGAATGATTGTCTTTTAGAGTGCGGTTTAGGGGCCATCTTAGCCTTGTGTACCCTGGTGTACTACCCAGCTAAGCCTTCCACGCCACCCAGTGCCTCAGCAGCAACGTCCAGAGAAAGCTTCAAGAAAGGAGCTTTTCATCTGGCAAAGTAAGCTCTAGTGAAATGTCTCTCTCTTGCACATTTCATGAGATGTTAATGAACATAACTTTCTGCAAAGTTCATATTCAGTCCCTTTCATTTCATCCAGACGCAGATTATTTTATTCTTTTTGTGAAAATGGATATTTTTGAATGGTTAGTGATTGTCTATGGTCTTTTAACTATCTGAGTAATGTTATGATCTTAAATCTTATGTGTAACACTTAGAATGACAACTTGTGTTTATTTTCGTTGGCAGAAATCGTCAGTTCTGGCTGATAAGTCTTGCCTATAGCATCAGTACAGGAGTGTACAGTTCATGGAGTACTCAGCTAGACACGCTTTTTCAACACACAGATGGTGTCAATCAGGTGCATATAGATTTGATACGTTCAATGATTTCCTTATTAAGGGACATAATGGCCTGGAATGTCTCAAATTGGGCTACAAAACACATTTGAAACAAAATGTTATTAATTGGAAAGAGCATTTAAAAGTAGGATATAAACTTCCACACAGCCATCCATTAAAAACTGGGCATTTTTGCATTATCCTTGTGAGAACCATGCAAAAACAAATTTTGGGGGTTATAATTTTGACTTCGAAAAAAATTGAGCTTGAAATACTTGTATGCCACAACCTATTTATTGATGTTGGTCATGTTCTGTTCTGTGCATTAGGACACGGTTGGATGGATTGGTTTCTATGCTAACATTGCAGGATGCCTTGCAGGCCTGTTCTTTGCAAGGTAATAAGTAAATAAATAAATAAATTTGGGAGACCTAACTGTGGACACTTGTTACACTAAATCCCTTAACACAAGTCAGAAAAAAAGTCATTCACAAGTCATTAAGTCTCCAATGAAGCGCCATGCTGTTCAAGCAAACTATGACAAAGGCATCCATCCTTTTTTCAGTGCTCATCCTCCGGTACTTGTTACTATATGATCTATATCAAGATTGACTTGTATTGGTCTTGACTTCTCCCCTGCCTTTGTTCAAATAAACCCCATATGCCCTTTTCAAACTTGAATCTATGTTGAGACTTACTTACTATTTTCTCTCATGCAGAATAATTTGAGCTTCATATTGTAAAATAAATGAAAAAACTTTCTTTCTAGGTTTGTGGATCATTTTGGCGGCATCATGAAGCGAGTCCTACTGCTATTGGCCGTTTTTGCCACTTGCTCCAGTCTTTGGTGCTTGCTGTTGTCCATGAAGTATATCCCATTCCATATAGGTAACATTCACAATCTCGGCACAGTCTTATCAATCTCATATTAGCAAATTAAGGTAATTTAGTGGTCTTTATCAACAAATTGTGTAAGTACTATGATTGTCATTGTAAAATTGTCAATGCATATTTACTGCTAAAGATAGGAGGATGACTGGGTAGGAGTCGAACCGAGGACTTTCAAGTGAACGTCTTAAACAACTCAACCACACTCCCAAGTTCCCAGCGTGAAGATTATTCAACTCATCAATTAGACAAAACAAACTAAATTGTATCAAATATCACATAAATGGAACGCAAGATAAGTTGAAAATACAATATCTACAAACTGAAAATCTTGCCATGTTCCCAGGATATATTTAATGATATGGTGCGAAATAAAAGTCTTATTTTTGTGGTTTTTCTCTCTAGCGTTCCTATATGTTTCCTGCATATCATTAGGCTTCTTCATTTCTGGTACCGTTCCCATCTACTTTGAGATTACTGTGGAGGGCATGTACCCAATAGCTGAAGGAATCACTACGATGGCGTTAACGCTGATGAATAACATGATGGGGCTTGTGTTCCTTGTACCTCCTCTCTTCCCTGGAATAGGTAGGTGATGGACACATTATGGGCCTTGCATCCTAATCCAGGGTCCAATTTCATAACACTGCTTAAAGGGCCCTTGAAGTGACTATAAAAAACTCATTGACATCCCTTTTTGGTTAATTCTACACTGCCCCAGTGGCGTCGCCAAGGGGGGTCCAGGGGGGGCACGTGCCCCCCCTGGAAAACCTAGTGCCCCCCCGAGTGCCCCCCCATCAAATACTGGTGCCCCCCTATCCTCTGCAAAATTCTGCGCGTTGTTAAAATCATTACCTCAAAAATAGCAATTTCTTGAGATATCTTCAGATCGAATTTAGCATCAAATGTGGCACCAATTTTCGTCTAGCCCATCCTCCGTATGCGAAAATTTTCCAAAGGGGAGGGGGGCACCCCCTCCCCTTAGACCCCTCCCCCAGGACGGCGATCCGTATCCACCTAAGTGCCCCCCCCCCATCAAATGCTGGTGCCCCCCCTGTGCCCCCCCAGACTGAAAAGTCTGGTGACGCCACTGCACTGCCCTCTTAGAGTTGTGATAATGGAATTCCATGGGAGACGACCCACATTCGCTGACCAGATTACAATCGCTTTTTTGAGCAGACAGACAAAACTTTGAAACTCTGTCAAAGATTTTGATATGAAAACTACTTGACATCCCTTTTTGATAAATTTTGTTAAAAAGTGCAATTCGTTCCGACATTAAACATTTTACATGCTTTTTGGACAATCGAGGGCGCTGTTGCTGTGATGTCATCACAGTAAGACACTATTCATTTTAGGGGTTTCTTTTCAAATTGTGATTCCGAAAGTTAGCATAAAACACAAAAAAGGATCAAAATATCCCTAAAAAAATGACAAAACAAAAATTGAAAGTTACGTTAAATGGGACACAAAAGTTCATTTTAAAGGATTGCATGAGAAAAAAATGAAAGTACAAACTGTCTTCAGATGTGAATCACAGAGGAACACAGACATGCCCTCGGATATGACCTCAGATGCAGGGGGTCAGTAGCCTTGCGTCACAATTTCATTTGGTTTTTGTTTTCAAGGTGTGACCTGGATGAACTGGGTAGTATTAGCATCAGCAAGCCTGCCGATAGTCATGCTGTTGTTGTATCGAGAGCGCTACAATCGCTTGAAACGAGACGAGGAAGATACATGCAGTGTGAATGCAGACATACAAGGTACTTGATCCTCGTGTGCTCATTTTAGTCATTATAAATCAAACACAAATAATTGACGTGAAACATTTGGATCACCATGAATTATTATTATTTGTCTTGGGACCATTGCTTCAATTTTGAATAAAAACAGGTGCGCCAAATTATATCACATATTTGAGTATTGGAAAAATTCCTTCAAATGTCTGAATAATAGTTTCGGATTTTAACATTTAAAAACAATGTTGACGATTTTATATATATTTTTATAATTCTATTAATTGAATGGTTTTATTATTTGTCAAGTGGTGCAATTCTCAACAGCAGATCTTGACCAGTGTACATTTCAAATATTCAAATCCAAGTTTGAATAACCAAATACGAAAATGTTAGAAAATGCACAATTGCACAGCACTTACGTTACTTGATTGTATTTAGGGCTGGTTTATAGGCAGGTGAAATTTAGCAGGGTAGGATCAATTATATTTTTGTCGTTCATCTTCAGTAGCTAGGACCAAATTGTATTTGCGGGATAGCAGGGTATGAAGAATTTATTCCAAATAAACTTGTTACTTCGTTGTTTGGTAATTTAGTAAGGGTACTTCGTACTTTTGTAATTCTATGTTGGATTATATGGTGCAAGTTAAGTGATGTATAGTGTACATGAATGATCACAGTACTATTTGCGCAATTCTGTAACTCAATAATTTGCTTTTGAAATGATAAATATTGAACTAACACAAATATACCAGTTTCTTAAAAAAAGCCAGAGCATAAACGTGACTAAATGATGGAAAGATTGCAGTTCTGTATTACAAATGTACAAACGAAAATTAACGAATGCCTTATGAATTGTAGAATAAGCAATTTGACTTTCATGGTTTTTTGAAAGTTTAACATTACTTTGCTTATTTCTGTTTATGTTTAAAATATACTTCCGAACATGTATACTTGAATTTAACTTATTGAATGTAAATGATTGACAAGTGACTTTAAATTTAACAAATGACATATTTTATATTGGTTTAATGAGTTTTCCTACACAACTATTTTACGTATTTTTTTATAATTTATTCATGACTTGCCATGCAGATTTAATAGTGAAAATATTTCTTTTTCTAAGAACACATTTGTTTTTAACACTAACTGGTTCTTGTGCTATGTTATTAAAAAATTAGTAAACATGATTTTTTATTTACCATCTCGTTAAAAAATATTTCACGGGCAAGATTGGTTGACAGGGTTACATAGGTTGTACAATCTAGAGAATAACGCACAGGTATGTGAAAGTTTCTAGTTTATACAATGCATATATTTATCATGGATGCTATATTATTTTACTTGTGAATTTATTTTGCAAAATCACTAAATTTTGCTATTGTGAACTGTAAGTTATGTTCAACAATCTTCATTGCATAGTTTCGCAACAACAAACATTGCAAATTGTTCCTCTTCAAAACGGTTCTATACCTCAATATTTTTTTTTTTTAAATCGGACAAAAGATAATAGAGGGGATTATTGACTAAATATTTCCTACGTCTTTCATAAAAATACCCTGGGCATTTGTAAGTTGTTATTTTGCAATACATGCATATGGATTCCTAAGCCAGTACAACATTGAATAATAATCACTATAGAGGTTCGGTTATATGCTCTCATGATTGTGTATATTCATCTTACAAGGTTACAAGCGAAGTCTTTTGCAATTATTCCTCTAATCACCTAAAAAGGTGACAAACTAGGAAATATGTACATTTTAATGAACTTAAATCCACCATAAGGAAATGAATATAATGTATGAAAATATATCTTAAAAGGAATGAGATGAAGTGTTATGCGTAAGTATACTATTTACTAATCAAGCTAATTGAAATGTAAAAATAAATAGTTATATAAGCTATTCTCGACATTGTTTAAAAATCAGTAAGTTAAGCACTTAACTAATACGCATTTGAAAATAAGTTTTAAGTAAATATAGAAAGTAGGTGAGCATAAGTAGTGAAAAAAGTTTATTATTAAATAATATTTTTGCGAAATCACATTTGTTAAATTGTGAGCTCGATTTGAAAGTAATAAACATATTTTGTCACAATGAAATTACAGCTGAAATCATTGAAATGAAAATTTCAAATCCACCTTCGTTTTATAAGAAGTATATAAAATAGGTCTCTTTTTTTTATTCGAACAAATACATTTTGGAACACTTGGCCAAAGCTCACCCTCTGTCGGCAATGTGAAAAACTCTGAATGTTTATTATTTGTACAGCTTAATAAGCTTGTCGCTCCTCTCAAGGGTAGTCATCTATGGATTCTAATACCAAATTTTTGGGAGTGTAATCGTCACCAGACAGCATTTCGTAGATGTAACTCGTGGTTTCCCTGTTGCAACCCCTCAGACCGGTTCCTTGTACGGGGTTGAGGGGCGTGGCGTAGCTGGGATTCTCCACGATGATTGGTCGAGGTCTTGGGAAGGTTCCCTCGGTCGCAAGAGGGCGATGTGTTTCTTTCCTTTCCATTTCTACGCCGCCTTTCAAGCTGAAGACGGTGTAAATTTTATTCTTTGATCTGTTGTACAAACATAAAATGTATGAATTAAGTTTAACCTTGATCTTATATACCTTTAGATATAACGTTTTTGAGTATCACTAATAGATTGAAGAAAAAAAAAGAAATTTTCCTTTTCGCCCAATGATAATAGGGTCACTTACTGTATTCTTTTGATGATGTACACAATGAATGCTGTGCATAGGCACACTGATGCAATTCCGATTGCGATAACGTACCAGTACTTGGACAGCCAACTCTATCATAAAAGAGAAGAAATGAAACAAAACAGTAACAAACTCTCACAAAACCTTCAAAAAAAATGAAGTTAGGCTCGTCTTAACACTTACTATTTGCAAAATGAATCCAACCCGTAATGTAATTAATTTATTCAAGTTCCATTTCAACTCGGAGACGTTTATGAGGACAGTGTTGCTATTAACGCCTATTCTTATCAAATGAAGGAGTTAGTTGAGTTGTGTTCATCTTTCGTCCTAACCTATACGTTTGTATTCTGGACTGATGAGTAAACGATCGGAACACCAGTTTTCGAAAAACAAAAGAAAAAAACACTGAAAACACAAACCAATTCCGAAACAAATATGTGAATGGGACTTAATTAGTTGACAATTTGCATTTCTGCTTTAGTATTTCTGCTTAAGCCACCTTTGGTCAAATGTACGTCAAACTCACAGGAGGTATCTCTGTAACCGTCTCCCCTTCGTAGATCTGATAATCGATTTCGGCTTCGATGGCCTCATTGGATATGCCTGACAGAAGCTCACTGATCCTCTCTGATGTCATGTAGCTGCCGTCACGTGACGCTACGAACGTCACACCAGTCAGTTTATCTCTGTTGAAGAAAAAGAAAACGGCACCGTCTCATGGGAATTATAATGCGAGACTGGCCTGCACAACCAAAACTTTCACGTCGTTACGCATGTTGTTTGTTAAGGGATGGTCATGACCTTTCTACATCAAATTGGAACACCATCGTCTAGCCTCCCTATCAGCTCAGGCACTGTCAACTACAAGGGGCCATGAGAAGGTGGCACCAAGTATAGCTGAAATAGAGAGTTGAACATGTTTTCATTGTTTGAAACACATGTAGTGCTTTGGATTGACAGGTGCTCAACAACAATTGATATTTTTGACTATCTCAAAAGTATTTTCCTACCCAGACGGCACTGCTACTAAGTCCTCCAGCGTTGCCACGGTAACATTAACCGAAACTACGTCACGTTTGCGGATGGCTGATTTCCGTTGCAACAAGGCTGTATCTAGTATGACGGAGATACCGATCTCGAAGCGCAATTTGTTGTCCAGGACGCCGATGATAATGATGATGTAGCCGTAGATCTTGAGATCTTGGATCGTAAAAAGAGAACATTATAATCATGACATTAACATTGTTATTGTAATGTAATTCTGTAAGGCTAACCGGCCTTCTTGTCGATGAGAGCGTTGTATAAAAACGTAATTTCCTGTGTGCCCTACAAACAGAACCAAGATATGTTAAAGCAATTCAGCAATTTCATTTCAATCTAAAATTAGCCTACACATTATAGACAAGGGCGGATCCAGGGGGGGGGGCCAAAGGGGGCCATGGCCCCCCCCAAAACGAAACCAATTTTTTTTTTTTTTTAATGTGACATCGCAATAAAGGCAGGCAATGAGTACACCACCATCTTTTCCTCAAAAAAAATTGGTTAAAGTGGTCAGAAATTGCCTCAGATCGCACCACAGAGCATCTAGAATCCAAATTTTTTTCGGGGCCCTCACGGGCCCCGAACCCTACGCCGTAATTTTTGAGACCCACTTTTTTTGGGGGGACCAAATTTTTTTGGCCCCCCCAAAAATTGTGTTCTGGATCCGCCCTTGATTATAGAAGTATAACTTTTGAATCACAGCAATATTTAAATTAATGTCAATCTCGGATTCGCGTCTCTTAATACGGCCCCCAAATGTCATCGTTACAGCGCTGTCACAAAAGGACATTAAAGCTGCTTGAGGCTTGAGCCGAAGGTTGATTTTGAAGGGGGGTTGATCAAATTCTTACCCATGTCACAATCCTTGTCGAAGTATCCGACATCACACGTGCACGTGTAGCCTCTGTCATCGACGGTAGATAACTCACACTTCCCGTGATTGCATGGTTTGACGGAACACGGGTCGGCAATAAGGGACTCGCAGTGTTGGCCAGTATGAAGTTTGTCACATACACAGCTGGTCAATGAAAAACAGTGTTTTAATTAACAACAAAATCTAACTTATAACATGCTACGGTTTTACAGGTATGGGGATGCTTTTTGGATCGCATATGCTGTGTGATGCAGTTTCCCACAAAATACTAAGGATTTTAGTTGTACCGCGTACATTTAGCCAACATGACACTGGAAAGGGTGCATCTTTCATTGATAGGTCTATTACTTAACGTAAGACGTCATTTACATAGATCTGCATCGCGCCTAAACGCATTTGGTACGGGTATAATGGTTGCGCCGGTTGTTCTCCTCAAAAGACCTTATGCGTAGCAGCAGCCATCTTAGAGGGCAATGTCTTTGCTTTGCTGGAATAAGCATGGGTGAGCCTCTGGTGCATTCATTGTTACTGAATTCAAATAACAAAAGATGCCCTCTGAAATGGCCGCTGTGGTACGCATAAGGTCAATTGACAAATGAATCAAATATTTTTTTTTTATTAGACTATAGGCCTACCTGTATCCATTGAATTCTGGATTGCACGTTCCCGTGTTGCAAGGCGAACTCCGGCAGAAATCGATCTCTTCGCTGCATGTCTTACCCTCGTACCCATCAGCACAGTGACAAGTGAAACCATTCACTGCGTCCTGGCACGTGGCCGTGTTAGCGCACGGGGTGGAGGCGCACTCATCCACGTTTATGTCGCATTGAAAGCCGTTGAAGCCTGGTGGACATAAACACTGGTACCCGTCAAGCTGATCCACGCACGTAGAGTTGTTCATGCAAGGCTTACTTGCACATTCATCCGTTTCTGTTCCACACGTAGTATCCTCATAGCCTGGAGCACACAAACATTTGAAACCACCGACAGTGTTTTGGCATGTAGCACCGTTCTGACAAATTTCACCCAGGCATTCGTCCACGTCATCCTCACATAAGGTCCCGTTGTAACCATTTGGACATTGGCAAGTAAACCGGCCAACTTCGTCAACGCACGTTGCGTCATTGGCGCAAGGGTTGCTGGTACATTCGTCAACTTCCAATTCGCAGTTGGGTCCTTGGTAGCCGGCTGTGCATTCGCATCTGGTACCGTTCTCGTCATCTCGACACACGCCGCCATGTTGGCAAGGATCGCTGTCGCAGAAGCCAGTCTCGTTATCGCATAACCAACCATGAAATCCATCCAGACACAGACAAGTAAACTTACCAATACCATCCACACACGTTGCGTTATTCATACACGGGTCATTCTGACATTCGTCTATTTCTATGCTACAGTTGTACCCATCGAATCCAGACGAGCAGTGACATATAAAGCCGCCAATTTTATCTTCACACAGCCCGCCATTTTCACAAGGTGCAGAGGCACATTCGTTGATATCAATGTCACAGAGATCACCTGCAAACCCTTCCGCACACAGACACTGAAAGTCATTGACGAGATCTAAACAGGTGGCATTGTTACGACAGGGAGCCATCAGACACTCATCCAAGTCAACGTCACATGTGGTGTTGCCGAATCCTGGAGCGCAGAGACATCTAAAAGCATCGAAGACATCTTCGCAAGTGGCGTTATTCAAACACGGCGCGCTCTCACACTCATCCATATCATCGTTACATAAGACACCTTCAAATCCTGACAGACAGTGACATGTGAATCCATCTATCTCGTCCTGACACGTAGAACCGTTGAGACAATGGGAGTGGGCGCAGTCGTCGATATCAGTGTCACAAATTGATCCCTCAAACCCATCCACACATGTGCAGTTGAAAGAGTCGATTTCGTCAGCACAAGTTCCATTATTCATGCAAGGGTTGCTTGCGCACTCGTCGATATCAGTGTCACAAGTTGATCCCTCAAAACCATCCGCACATGTGCAATTGAATGAGTTGATTCTGTCGATGCAAGTTCCATTATTCTCGCAAGGGTTGCTTGCGCATTCGTCGATTTCAGTGTGACAAGTTGACCCCTCAAAACCATCCACACATGTGCAGTTGAATGAGTTGATTCTGTCGCTGCAAGTTCCATTATTCTCGCAAGGGTTGCTTGCGCATTCGTCGATTTCAGTGTGACAAGTTGATCCCTCAAAACCATCCACACATGTGCAGTTGAATGAGTTGATTCTGTCGCTGCAAGTTCCATTATTCTCGCAAGGGTTGCTTGCGCATTCGTCGATATTAGTGTCACAAGTTGATCCCTCAAAACCATCCACACATGTGCAGTTGAATGAGTTGATTCTGTCGATGCAAGTTCCATTATTCTCGCAAGGGTTGCTTGCGCATTCGTCGATATTAGTGTGACAAGTTGATCCCTCAAAACCATCCACACATGTGCAGTTGAATGAGTTGATTCTGTCGATGCAAGTTCCATTATTCTCGCAAGGGTTGCTTGCGCATTCGTCGATATTAGTGTGACAAGTTGACCCCTCAAAACCATCCGCACATGTGCAGTTGAATGAATTGATTCTGTCGATGCAAGTTCCATTATTCTCGCAAGGGTTGCTTGCGCATTCGTCGATTTCAGTGTGACAAGTTGATCCCTCAAAACCATCCACACATGTGCAGTTGAATGAGTTGATTCTGTCGATGCAAGTTCCATTATTCTCGCAAGGGTTGCTTGCGCATTCGTCGATATTAGTGTGACAAGTTGACCCCTCAAAACCATCCACACATGTGCAGTTGAATGAGTTGATTCTGTCGATGCAAGTTCCATTATTCTCGCAAGGGTTGCTTGCGCATTCGTCGATTTCAGTGTGACAAGTTGACCCCTCAAAACCATCCACACATGTGCAGTTGAATGAGTTGATTCTGTCGATGCAAGTTCCATTATTCTCGCAAGGGTTGCTTGCGCATTCGTCGATATTAGTGTGACAAGTTGACCCCTCAAAACCATCCGCACATGTGCAGTTGAATGAGTTGATTCTGTCGATGCAAGTTCCATTATTCTCGCAAGGGTTGCTTGCGCATTCGTCGATATTAGTGTCACAAGTTGATCCCTCAAAACCATCCGCACATGTGCAGTTGAATGAGTTGATTCTGTCGATGCAAGTTCCATTATTCTCGCAAGGGTTGCTTGCGCATTCGTCGATATTAGTGTGACAAGTTGACCCCTCAAAACCATCCACACATGTGCAGTTGAATGAGTTGATTCTGTCGATGCAAGTTCCATTATTCTCGCAAGGGTTGCTTGCGCATTCGTCGATATTAGTGTGACAAGTTGATCCCTCAAAACCATCCGCACATGTGCAGTTGAATGAGTTGATTCTGTCGATGCAAGTTCCATTATTCTCGCAAGGGTTGCTTGCGCATTCGTCAATATTAGTGTCACAAGTTGATCCCTCAAAACCATCCGCACATGTGCAGTTGAATGAGTTGATTCTGTCGCTGCAAGTTCCATTATTCTTGCAAGGGTTGCTTGCGCATTCGTCGATTTCAGTATGACAAGTTGATCCCTCAAAACCATCCGCACATGTGCAGTTGAATGAGTTGATTCTGTCGCTGCAAGTTCCATTATTCTCGCAAGGGTTGCTTGCGCATTCGTCGATATTAGTGTGACAAGTTGATCCCTCAAAACCATCCACACATGTGCAGTTGAATGAGTTGATTCTGTCGATGCAAGTTCCATTATTCTCGCAAGGGTTGCTTGCGCATTCGTCAATATTAGTGTCACAAGTTGATCCCTCAAAACCATCCGCACATGTGCAATTGAATGAGTTGATTCTGTCGCTGCAAGTTCCATTATTCTCGCAAGGGTTGCTTGCGCATTCGTCGATATTAGTGTCACAAGTTGATCCCTCAAAACCATCCGCACATGTGCAGTTGAATGAGTTGATTCTGTCGATGCAAGTTCCATTATTCTCGCAAGGGTTGCTTGCGCATTCGTCAATATTAGTGTCACAAGTTGATCCCTCAAAACCATCCACACATGTGCAGTTGAATGAGTTGATTCTGTCGATGCAAGTTCCATTATTCTCGCAAGGGTTGCTTGCGCATTCGTCGATTTAGTGTGACAAGTTGACCCCTCAAAACCATCCACACATGTGCAGTTGAATGAGTTGATTCTGTCGATGCAAGTTCCATTATTCTCGCAAGGGTTGCTTGCGCATTCGTCGATATTAGTGTCACAAGTTGACCCCTCAAAACCATCCGCACATGTGCAGTTGAATGAATTGATTCTGTCGATGCAAGTTCCATTATTCTCGCAAGGGTTGCTTGCGCATTCGTCGATATCAGTGTGACAAGTTGACCCCTCAAAACCATCCGCACATGTGCAGTTGAATGAATTGATTCTGTCGGTGCAAGTTCCATTATTCTCGCAAGGGTTGCTTGCGCATTCGTCGATATCAACGTCACAATTTGATCCCTCAAAACCATCCACACAAGTGCAGTTGAATAAATTGATTCCGTCGATGCAAGTTCTGTTTTTCTCACAAGGGTTGCTTGCGCATTCATCGATATCCACTTCGCATGTCGAACCCTCAAAACCATCCACACATGTGCAGTTGAACATGTTGATTTCGTCAGTACAAGTCCCGTTGTTCTGACAAGGAGTGCTTGCGCATTCGTCGATGTCCTTTGCACATGTTGAGCCTTCAAAACCATCCACACATGTGCAGTTGAAAGAGTTGATTGCGTCAACACATGTCCCTTTGTTCTGACAGGGAGTGCTTGCGCATTCGTCGATATCAGTGCCACAAGTTGATCCCTCAAAACCATCCACACATGTGCAGTTGAAAGAGTTGATGTCGTCGGTGCAAGTTCCACTGTTCTCACACGGGTTGCTTAGGCATTCGTCGATATCAACTTCACAAGTTGACCCTTCAAAACCATCTATACATGTGCAGTTGAAAGAGTTTATTTGGTCAGTACAAGTCCCATTGTTCAGACAAGGGGTGCTTGCGCACTCGTCAATATCAATGTCACAATTTGACCCCTCAAAACCATCCACACATGTGCAGTTGAAGGAGTTAATTCCGTCGATGCAAGTTCTGTTTTTCTCACAAGGGTTGCTTGCGCATTCGTCGATATCCACTTCACATGTCGAACCCTCAAAACCATCCACACATGTGCAGTTGAACATGTTGATTTCGTCAGTACAAGTCCCGTTGTTCAGACAAGGAGTGCTTGCGCATTCGTCGATATCCACTGCACAAGTTGAGCCTTCAAAACCATCCACACATATGCAGTTGAATGAGTTGATTTCGTCAGTACAAGTCCCGTTGTTCAGACAAGGAGTGCTTGCGCATTCGTCGATATCCACTTCACAGGTTGGCCCTTCAAAACCATCCACACATGTGCAGTTGAACATGTTGATTTCGTCAGTACAAGTCCCGTTGTTCTGACAAGGAGTGCTTGCGCATTCGTCAATATCCACTTCGCATGTCGACCCCTCAAAACCATCCACACATGTGCAGTTGAACATGTTGATTTCGTCAGTACAAGTCCCGTTGTTCAGACAAGGAGTGCTTGCGCATTCGTCAATATCCACTTCACAGGTTGGCCCTTCAAAACCATCCACACATGTGCAGTTGAATGAGTTTATTTTGTCAACGCAAGTTCCATTGTTCAGACAGGGGTCGCTCCGACACTCGTCGATCTCAACCTCACATCGGTCACCCTCGTACCCAGGGGCGCATGTGCAGTTAAAATCGTTAATAAGATCCACGCAAGTAGCGTTGTTCTCACATGGCATCGTCGCACATTCATCCACATCTATTTCGCAGTCGGTACCTTTAGAATAATACAGATAGTCAGCAAAAAGTATCTCTTTCGTGTTGAGGAGATATTTAAGCCTTGTCAGGGCAAACTCATTGGGAATTTCATTAAACAACTTTTGTTTTTAAGTTATTTTTCCATTTGGTTAGCACAGTGTCGTCTTTGTAACTGTCTCGCAGACTGACCGAACGACTGACTACCTGAATTACTGACTGCCATGCACTTGCGACTTAGGTCTGTATAATGTTGCTGAAGAGAGCCGGGCAGTGCTCTCGTATAGGATTATAGCTTGCCAATTGTGTAGACACGCTGCATGAAAAAAAGACTAGTGAACAACCGTTCTGAATCGATTTTGTGTACTTTGTGACAGAGTGATCTTTGCCAGTCTTAGCATAGGCTTGCTTAGTCGTGTTTTAAGAACTATGACAGTATAATTATGTGGCTTACCTTCATACCCATCCAGACAGGTACAGTTGTATTCATCACTACCATTGAAGCACTGACCACCATTTAAGCAGGGATTGGAGACACATGCATCATAATCGTCAGCACAATTGTCACCTGTCCAACCACTCAAACATACTTTCTCACCAGTTGTCATGTTGCAGGTGTAATGGCCCGTTTCATCATCGCGAGCAATGCACTGAGTGAGGCAGTCTTTACCGTAGAATGTCTCCTCACAATATACCGTAGTCGAAAACTGGAGGCTGTTGATGGGATGAGGGAAACACATTAAAGTAATAAATAAATGTATTAACCTTTATAACATTTGCTTTCAATGTCGCGGCATGTTGTTACATCTGAGGGTTGTTACATGCCCAGTTTAATTGAGCTTTGATTATTCGGCGGAAGTCTTCACTTACCTTTGCGATCCTAGACCGGTGTTAAGACTGTTGAATGGAGGTTCACCTTGCCTAGGAGCAGCCTCTTGTTCCACTGTTCGAAACAATTCTGCAACCTTTTCTTCCGTTGATCCTGGGTCGTCCACATCCCATACTTGCACCTTCACCCGAAAACTGCCCTGAAATGATTGAATGACTCTTTTTAGTTCCTGATTGCATACCGTACACGGTGTACGATATAAATGGTGGTAACGTTGATAATATCAATTAATTAGTAAATATCAGTAAATGATAAAGCATCCGATTGGTTGATTCTGTCGATAATGATAAAGACAGGCAATAGGGCTATGATGATCGATGGGGATAGTAAAGATTGATATTGTTTAGTGACTGTTTGTAGAGGACAGTTTTAACAGCCCATCGCAGAACCGAGCTTAGAAGTGTAATCCAAAAGATTATGTCATGCTTGAAGAAGGTCAACAATATATATGCCAGCAAAAAACAATGAAAGCAAAGTGAAGACTCACCGTCCATGACGAAGTAGTTGTGTACGTGTGTGTATTCGGAGGAGCATTCGGGAAAATCAAAACGCCATTGACCGCGACTGATAGTATCTGGTCGATGTTAATGACGGCAATATCACAAGAATCATTTTTAAAGGAATCGGATGTTCTGTAAAAAAATAATAAAGAAAGAAAAGAATACAAGTAGAAACCGCGATTTATATTCATCATCCCTTAGCCTAGTGTCTGGTAGTGAGGGAGCGCAAGGGGCCGAATTATGTGCGAGGGTTTCCCATCTTTGTCTTTTTGATTGCGGCCAAGAGATTGTGCATTAATAGTCTGTCCACTCCTTCACGAATTATCCTTTTGTTCTCAATAATATGTTTTAGGATTCTTCATTTCATAATAGTTTCATTATCCAACCTAGTTTGAACATGAATAGGCTTTGGGAGTGGTTACATAATAAATTGGTCCACATGAATCATTTAATCGTTTTGGCGAGTAAGAATTACATTTGCATTATTAAGTAATATTAAACAAAACCCAAACAACCCAACAAACAAACTCACGTGTTTGAGTCCAAGCATATAAAGAACCGGTTATCACATGGGTTTGTGCAAGGATCCTCATATGGAGCATCACAACAGCTACCATTTAGTAGTTCATGCACTGTGTCCTCGTATTGCACGGGCCGAAAGTAGACAACTGTGGTAGAGTATGCTGCAAATATGAACTGCGGCAAAACAGAAGGTACCGGTAATCTAAAAGCTACTTCAACCAATAAATTGCTAAAATGTAATATATATATATTTTTAAAAATAAACAAGCATATAGCGTGTTTTGATGAAATTTTGCGAACGGTAAATTTGTGAACGTTAACTCCAGATGTTAAGCAAAGAGTATACAATGATCATGTTTCATCCATGCAAGATTATGTAGCTTGGTCCCAATTCCCCAAAGGCTTATGGCGTCCCCTTTGTTTCACAGATAACTGTGGTGTTGAAATCACGGGCATTGTCCACTGAGGCGTTTCCATTGTGTTGGACGTTGACTAATTAAATTTAACCATGTTGTCTTCATGTTCAAATCTTTAAAACATTGTTGAATCACCGATAATAATTTGAATCAAGTTTAAAATTGTGCTTTGTTATGGAACTGAAAAAAAAAAACAACCCGATATTATTTTGATCATTTCGTTAAAACGGGTGTCAATTTAATATTTTCCGGAAAGCAAAGACCGAAGTTGCCATTGAATCTTTCCCGCTATAGTTACTTCAATCTTGCTAAAATAGAATTTCAAAATGGTTTTTAGATGTCAATCATTTTCAGTGCACGGTTTTAATTCACCAAGGTATATTTTCGGTACCAATTTTATCACTTTACATTATATGCCATGTATGTTCGAATCATACCATATGGATGAAACTAAACAAACTACATTTCAACCTTTTAAGTAGGCTAGATTTGATCACAGTTATTTGTAAATACGTATTTCTCACCTGAAACAGTAGAATGATCGGTAACAATCCCCCGCCCTGCGCCATGATGGTGTTAGAGTAAATTTATGAGGTGTTATGGGGTGTATACACGGCCGATTGCAGGTCAAATCGTCAATAAGTTAAAAAGTGGTTAGAGTGCTGCATAATTATTATTTGAATAGCTAGGCCCCGTATATACCCGTCACTTGACAACGTTCGATGAGCATCACACACCCTATGCGCTATTGTCAACATTGGTCGAAGCAGATTGGTTGCTTGCGGTTGGATGATTGACAAAATGGCAGCCAAATACTGGAATGACGTCACGAAACCCGATATGGAATGTAATGAGGAACAACACACGACCTCTTCAGCATGTATTACGTCCGATGTGGAAACCAAAATCTCACAACCTTTATCAAAGCAGAAATCTCTTATTCTATAATCCAATTTTCCTTAACTCAAAATTCACTATAGGCCAAATATCAATGATTAAACAAATAATTAAGTTTCCAGAATTCTCGTCTTTCACGCCCTAATGAATTTTAATCAAAATCTGAGCACTTGTGTGCTTTCAAATTCACGTGATGGACAAGGTGTTCCACTCGTGGGACTTTGAACCTTTTAAAGTAATGACAGAGAACTGCTCTGTTTTGGTCTATAATTGTACAAATTCAGCACACGATCGTATACTAGTTTAAATTTACTCGAGGTTGGTAGTTGCCATTATTAGTGCTTAGATCGTGTTTGCAGGGTAAACATTTCTGCTTCTATAAATGGGTAGATTTGTGTCGACAACTTGGGGATGATGGAAAAATCCTGGAACTTTCCGGATGTCGGAAATTTGAAAAGGGGCGTAAGGGATCCATTTGACACTAAGTGCATGCAGCCGTTCACGATTTTAAAAGTTACTTAAAAAAAAAAAATCTGTTGTCTGATAAAAAGTATTATAAAGTAAAAGAAATTTAGATCTGATTATCAATTCAAGACTCGACTATACCTTGTCCGATTATGAAGATCTTTTATTGAAATGTAAGGCCTAGTCAACTTCAGAAATATAAATCACTGTTGTTTCTAGCTGATGATTTTGAAAGGCCGGTCACTGGACAAATATTGCTTTTTTTTACCATGTTTTATTGCAGAAATGACGATGAGCCGAAAGACTGGTTTCCGAGTCGCACAGAAGAACATAACTACCCAGTGTAGTTGTGTGTACCAAACACTTTACCATTGGCAAAAAGCCCCCATCTACGACACCTTATCTTGACACCTTTAACCCTTGATTTCCCACCCTTCATTATCAGCGCTTTGATGTGAGTCCTATGTTATAATACACGAAGCAGGGCCGATAGCTGCCTATCACTATTAAGGCGGCCTATATTATTGCCTGCGGCTGTCAACATTATTTCATACGGGTTTTTTTTGGCCATGCACTTGAAGCCATTTAAATACGGATCCAAGCTCGTGAAAGGGGTATAAGCTTGTTATTTTGAGGGAGTGTGTAAAATTAGTCACAGAACAGGATTTTATGTTTTCTTAATGCACATTTTTAATGATAATTGATTATGTTGAAGATAAATGCCCAAAAGAAGGTGCAATTCCGCTAAGGTCTGAATTAGATTAATTAATTTTTTTTCAACCTTGGAGAGTTTTACATAATTTGTCACGGCCAGGTTTTTGCTTATCAACAGCCTTTTTATATTGCATTAAGATAGCCATACAGGTGTGACAATGTCTTAATGTTGATTTAGGAATATTTAGGAACTGAGTTCGTATAAATGACAAACCCTTGTCTATAGCTAGCTCAAAATCACTTTTGTTCCTCTTTTTAAGTTAAAAAGATAACTTCATTCTTCTGCAACTAGTGTTTATCACGAGCATTGACACTCCACAGCAGAATCAACTTCACACACACTCAAAATTCTGCAGCCGCTTCCATGGACACGCTTATTTGTAGGACCGTTATGTGCTGCGTTCTAGTATGGAAGGTAAATATTGGAGTAGACAAAATCAACAGTTTCATTGAAAATAATGAATTGCACCTGCTGATGTTGGCCTGCTACACAGAAAACCCAAAGTGAGTAATTTGACTCATTATCGCAATAAATGAGTCCTTTTGTCCATGTAGTGACAAGGAATCGCTTCTCTTGCATTGAAGGATTACAAAATATCATAACAATTTGGTCACAATTCTTCATTTTAATACCATATTTATGAGAACATTATTTTTTCCCGAATGAATTACACATAATTTATAAACGTTATCTATAATGGGGCTGGTCATTGTTAAAATAGAATTTCTATTGCTCTTGGACAAACAAGTTTCAGTTAAATCAATTGATAAAATAATTATCATTTCAGTTAAAACTGTATACATCATATTTTAAATGTATGCGTAATCGCGAATATTTTGCTAAAAACATCACCTATTTGATGGGTTTTATGTATCCCTATGAAGAGTTTTAAATAGTTTATTAAGGGAAAGTGTTCCTTCCGTTGTTATTTAGAACATTGACAGTTTTTTCGATCTGTTATAGATACATTCAAACGTTATTTATTTCTGTAAAACCGATCAGATAATCTATGCTATATTTAAACTTCATCTATACGATATGCCAGTGAAACAACCAAGATTGCTAGCCCAATAAACAGTTTGCATCCATCAGTGAATTGTGGCCTCATCTCGATCGATTCAAACTGAAATAAGAAAGAGAAACATTCATAAATAAAGATACAACAAAATATTTTAAAGTTTGTTTGCCGGAATAAAAACCACAGAATCAGGCACGACAACCCCATCAACATGCATGCTTGATGTTGGATTAAAACAATACAACTTCATGATCAACTCAGACGAAGAGATGGTTTTATACCTGTAAGTGATGTATGGACGCTTAGAATGTCAATTCGATAGGATAGTGATCACTGACCGTCTTTGCCTGCAAATCGAATCAAATCGGGGAAATACAAAGCTTTGTTTAACATTAGGCTAATCTTTTCAATTTTGAAGATTGAAACATTAGTAAATGAAAACAGTGTCCGCAATCAGACATCAGAGAGTGGTAGACGCGTCCTGTAGATGGCGCTGTTTACCAGCTGAACTATAATTTTTGGTAATGCTCAGCTGAAATCCAGAGTTGTAACGAGTCACTGATTTTTGTGACTCGAGTCGAGTCGAGTCATTTTAAAGAAGTGACTCGAGTCGAGTCGAGTCATTAGGTCAACAAGGTCGAGTCGAGTCGAGTCGAGTCACAGAGTGTCGTCGAGTCGAGTCGAGTCGAGTCAAGTATTTAGCTCGAATCAATTCGAGTCACAAATATTTGAACACTAAATTACAATAAAAAGCAACAAACACAAGAGAGAAGGAATACAAGGCACCAGTCTATTACGGAAATCCAAAGACATAAAGTATGCTGTATGGTACCCAACCAACAGTTTCCATTGCTAGCTCACGTCACAGATAAGAAGATGTGAAACTTCGGTCTTATAACTGGTTTGGCTTCGAGTCTAGATTTTGTTGTTCGCTGATCGCTGACAACTTTAAAACCTAATTGCATTATACAAAACTGTTTCTGATTATTTAAAGGTGGGCCCGTCCGTATCCATTTTTTTGTGTGAAATCGGGACATGAATTTAGCCAGCGTTCCACCAAGAACTTCAAAATCGCCCGAAACCAATGATGAAACCACGGATTGAGAAATGCGTTTTAAGTCTGGTTCCGGGTTTAGCATTACATGCTATAGAACCACATGTTTATGTGTATGTTTGTTGTTTCATTATGGAGGAAGGAAACAGACTGCCGCTGTATATAAACGTACATTATTCGCGAACATTAACGTGACGTGAACAAAAACTGGCAACGCGAACGGCGCAGCGTAAGTCATTGCAAATATTTTTCGCAAGTAAGTTTTGCTTTTATTTTGGGACTCGAGTCTTATTAGCCTTCCTCGAGTCGAGTCGAGTCATTCTGATGAGGGACTCGAGTCGAGTCGAGTCATTTGCTCGCAGTGACTCGAGTCGAGTCGAGTCATTTACCCGTCGGGACTCGAGTCGAGTCGCCAAAAAATGTGACTCGAGTCGGACTCGAGTCGAGTCATTGACTCGAGTCATTACAACTCTGAAATCGTGCGATGGAGAATTAAATATACAAAAAACAATATTTGCAACATTGTGTTACGATTACATGCAGCTAATTTAAAAGGAACCCTCTTTTGCTAAAAACCTATATCTGGATATTTCGGTAACAGGTGCATGAATGGATAGGTACGCCTTATTTCATATTGAACCTCAGGCTTATGATAAAAGTCCCATAAAAGACCTTAAAAGGGAAGCTTGAGTATCGAATTGTATTTCTAAAAACGTTAAATCTTTAGTCTGATGGGAAAAAAATCCGAGAGAAAGGGAAACACATGTAGATGACTTACGGTATCTTGATCCAAGCCGTAAGCATTGTCAAAGTAGAAGACACGAGAGCTAGGGAGATTAGCGGTCATCTTAGATCCTGCAAGCACGAATCTAGGGAGAATTGAATATTGAAGTACAGAACAAACATTAATGCATGCATGCATAGCTACTATTCAGTAGCGGATCTAGGGAGGCGGGGGGGGGGGGGTGTAAACAAACCCCGACCCCCGTTCAGCCACTGACTAACAGTACGAAACTATTAAACTGATGCAAAAATTATAAATATATACAGTTTTAACATTTATCCCTAAATTATCGTAGAATGCAGGACAAATCGTCGTCAACTCCAACAGTTTCCTGCCCCCCCCCCCCCCCGGCAGGGCGTGCCTTCGACACTCCTTTAACTTAACCCCCACCTTAATCAACCTCCTCATTTCCTGAAAGGTAGATCCGCCCCTGCTAGTTGTCAAGCTAGTTAAATTTTATTGCAGTTGTAGATATTGACCGTTGTGATGTTACCCATGACAAAGAGCGTAACATCACATGACTCAATCTAAATGTTTAAATTAATCAAAATGATTGGCAGAGCTGCCTGAGAACGTACAACGTTGACGTCAACACTCAACTTTCTGTGATGCCTGCACAGGGCAGACCCCGAATTTCTGTTAATGGAATAAAAGCGTGGGTGTAAAGAAAACGTTACAATTATAACTTGAGGAATATACGAAGAGAAATTGTCTATACCTGTCGTATGCGCAGTCTGTATTTGAAACAGTCGTATCAGCTTCATCAGGCGTCAGCCAATAGAAACGACTCTCTGTTCGCAACCGGATAGTTGGCCAATAGGATGCTTTGACGTAATCGCAGTCGGCGTTGTAGTCTCCCGTGATTATAACATCCTGAATGACAAACACACAAAAGAAACTTTCTGTTAAAAGCGTTTTACTCACCCCATGGTGCCATAATTTATTCCCTAAGATATTGCACAGCGCCCTCATTGGCTGACCAATTTCAATATAATCTTAGGAATTTTACTTTCCAAGAAAAGTAAGCATTCAAATTGCCAACAATTGTTACTTTTTGTTTCACTGTGTCACGACCAGCTATTACTCTATCCAAGAAAATTCGAAAATTCTCATGGAGACATAGCTCCCAATCCTGGACGTTACCTGTAATTACCGATATCTTAACGGAGTCCCATTTGCAGGGGGAGGGGGGGGGGGGGGGGTGCGTTTCACTCATGGAATGCACACAATGGTTTATTTAGTTGAAAACAATACAAAGCTATTTATTGCCTTCTCCAAAGTCAGAGGGTGTAGGGGGTTTAAAAGGTCTCGATCGGAGGGGGGGGGGGGGCGTGCCCCCTGGTTACATCACTGCCCAGCCAATTTGTCAGAGTAGCATCATTATATCTGTGGGTCTATATAAAGTTTAACGAACCGTTAAACCCCACTTGGAGACTACATCATCATAGACATCAGCCAGGGCGTCGACCTCATAACGAGTGTACTTGTAGCCAGGTTTGGTGTGGATGTTCACAACGGCAAAGTCCGTAGGCAGAGCTGTTTGAACGAGGAGTAAATTATGACCAAAGAAATTGACTGTAAGTGGCAATCGAACCTGTAATTTCTGCCATGGTTGCCCCAAATTCAGTGTCTTTTTTTCAACAGGCGCCAGTGAAAATTCGTAAATCTAGTCAGTTTCACTCTTACTAGTCCAATGATTTGAAATGTTTTAAGCTTAAGCTCCACCGTTTATTAAAAAAAAACCCGGCATAACCAAACTTCGTAATATATTAGTTTATACTCACAGGAAGAAGTCAAAGATTCGAAACGCACGATGTACGGCTCACGCTCAAATTCATCATTTTTCTCGACGTACGCATATTGGTCCTTCACTCTGAATAGGTCAGTCCTATAAACAAAAAACTGACGAGCTATAATTTTTTATGTACATGACTTCATAATTTCAATATTGCCACCATTTGATCAGTAGTTTCCGCAATGAATTCAGATATCTTAACTTTTTAATTAGAGAGAACTTCATCATAGACCTATAATGAACATAAATACTGAAAAATTGTTTTAAGCTCATTCATACTGTCCGAATTTTAATTGTTCTGGACTAAATTTACCCTTCAAACGAGCATTGTTGATCTGAGAATCATTGTTTGCAATATCTACTAGGATTTTCTGAGGATTGTCAAATGCTGATCAAGAATCAACCCGATAATTGTTTACCTGTAGAAGAAGACATACTGCTCCTTGGTCGAGGAACGGCCCTCCCTCGGACCTACTACCATGCCATAATTTTTGCTGGAATATCTGAAAACAAAAATCCAATATCGACATAATTATCATAAAAATATCGATCACGTAGAAAATCTGAGAGTGCTCGGCAACAATACAGTTTACAATAAAATACGTGACATGGATAGAGCTCGTTCCGATACTATGCGGAATAACGCTAAGAATATGCAAGATTTTAGGGATGTCATTTAATAGTCCCGCAATTGGTGAAATATAATATAATGGTTTCTGGTATAATCCACGTCATTAAAACAAGATTTCCACAAAAAAACTTACTGGTTGAGTCCACTCAGGAGTTCATTGATGGGGTCAGGCGAGGAAGATCGTAGTTCTTGTACCATGACGAGGTCGTAACGACTCAAAATCTGAAATCCGAAGCAAATTGGTTATCCGATTATTATTATTATTATCCATATCAGGAAATGTGACATTGCACAAAAAGTTGCTAGATTTTTTTATATTTTGCTGTCGAAAATTTCCTCTTCTTTTGGGATTTGTTGTTGTGTGATGGCAGCAAGCCAATGAGCAATACTTTTCTGACTGCCTTTCTCACACATGTTATCAATGATCAAATTTTGGGTTCACAATTTGAACAGAAAACCTCTAAACTAAACAGTGTCTTTCTGGAATGACATCACAGCAACAGCGCCCTCAATTATCCGGAAAGCACGGAAAATATGTAATGTGCACTTTTTAATAAAAGTTATCAAAAAGTGATGTCAAATAGTTTTCATACATTAACGTGGAGTAGAAAGTTGAACAAAATGTGTTCCAAAGAAAAAACACCGTATGAACCTTTTAAATTGGTTCAATAAAAGATCATCTTTTCAAAACTTAAAATGGACGACCCTCGTAACAGACTACGAAGAATAAATAAAAAATTTAAAAAAAAAGTCAAACGAAAACACATGACGGACTTAGTTTCATAAATTATGCATGAATGCAGAGATTTTAAATTGTGACAAATATGCCTACAGGGCATCAAGACAATCCTAATAATATTCTGCTGGTATCATGAGTGTGGATATTACTAGTAGATACACTCTCTCCATAGTAAGATTTTACATACATGTACTATTTTTTCTGTTATGCATCTTTTAAGACCTTACCTGGTGCAAATAGGCCACTACGTCAGGTTTGCTCATTTTGGATACCCCCAGTATTTGAATGTTGAACGACGCCACTTCGATAGCTATAGCGTGGCCCGCCAATACGGCGGCCAGGAAACACAGTCCAAACACGGTACGGAACTGCATTGTTTTCCGCTGGTTACTTCCGTAAATCAACACGATTTTGTTGTGAGTTGTAACTGATTGTACCTTTGGTCGTCCCGACACTGAGCAGGTTTTGAGCGAGAGAATGAACTTGTCAGGTCCAAGTATCCTGCTTTTATTACAAACGGCGTTTTGGCAGAACAGTAACCGAAGTTACTGCATGGATCGTAAACAGCGCTAAGACATAGTCATCAGCAGGCAGTCACTAATAAGCAGCTATCAGTCGAGGAAATAAACAACAGTCGTAGACAATCGGAAAGAAATCACAGACAGTCGGTAAAGATATTCGAACGACATGCGAAAAAAGCTGACCTGGAAGCCTGCATTATCGTTTGCGGTTATCTGGAGTAATTGTCATAACCCGGCGATATTCTTGTTATATTCTGCTAGCGTGGTAACAATTAATATAGCACGGAGCATGCAAGTTCGTGCCTGCTTTGATGCACGAACTACGAAAATAACTTCAATTTGATTGACGACAAATCCACTTCAGGTAAGTATAGTTTTACAAAGAATTCGTTGATTTCCTTTTCCCCATTTTATTCGTTGCATGCACGCATAATTTATCAATTTGCGTCAGCTAAGATAGTGCTAAATCAATACAGATAGTCAGTTGTTTTGTTTTTAATTTAAAAGGCATAGTATTGCATATCAAAATATTACAAATGGGTCGTGGTAAACGATGTCCCACTTTGTATGAAATTACTGTGCCCGTGTGGTGTTCGCATCTTGCACAAGTGTGCTACCTTATCTCTTTGATTATGGACAATTTGTTCGTGCAGAACTTTGGTCTTTTTCGAAATAAGAAATTTTTCTCGGTGTCCTTCGCTCTGACGTCTTAACAACATGCTTAAGAGCACCAGTCAGATGCCCATTATAAGCCAGTAACACGTAATCATCGTATTTTTTTCACTTTAGCTTGGACATATACAGGATAACTCTATCGACGACAAATTTGAAATTATTTAAATATTTATAGTGCAATGACGGAAGTTTCTTTTGAGTTCGGTTGATGCTGAAGTGCAAATGTCGTTAAGGCCTCTGTGCCGGACAGACTGTCACATGACTAGACAATACTGGGCTCATTGCCTTGTCTGGTTTGTGGTGATGAAAACCAGTAATTGCCAAGGGCGGATCCTGAACACAATACTTTTTTGGGGGGGGAGAGGGTAAACCATTTATTGTTCCCAGAAAAAAGTGGGTCCAAATATTTTCCGCCCCAAATTTAATATGAAAAGCAAGAGGGGGGGGGGGGGGGGGGAAACTAGGACTCGTTATAGCATCGGTGCACGGTGGCTCAATTCTAATGCTGTCCTCTGAGGTTCTCAATTCCTTAAGCATGCCGAATAGTGGTGTACTCGTTAAATATGGCTGTCAGTTGTTTCTGCGACTTACAAAAAAAAACAATATAAAAAACCCCAAACAAACAAACAAAAACTGTTCGTAGGGAAAGTGTTCTCTGATAAATTTACGTTGTAAGGGCGCCAATCGATTCTTAAAAATGGGGGGGGGGGGGGCATACCTTGACCAGAACTAATGTGAGGGCAAAGCACGAAGCCCCTACGGCGTGGGGTTCGGGGCCCACTCAAGGGCCCGAAAATGTTGGATTCTAGATGCTCTGTGTGGCACCCGGCCGGTGCATCGTGACAAAACGTGCAATCTGCTTTTCTGGTAGTAGAAAAACAGATGTCCATTTTTTAACCGTCCGCAGTTTTCGGGTTGCAGAAAAGTAGAAACCGGACCCTCAGTATAAAACACAGTTTCATCATAAAAACATAGTTTCACTATAGTAGAGTATATCACAAAACGTTCAATCACCATTTCTGCTCTTCTGTTAGAAGAAAAGCAGATGTCCACATTTGAACCTCCATTATTTTAGCATGTTTGTATTTAGATCAAATTCTGGTTTGAGCACTCGTCAAAATCACGTGATTTCTACTGTCCCTCTGAGGCTACCAGCAAAAAAAATCTTTCAATCAACTAACAAATGAGACTCCGGATATAACATGTTCGGGCAGTTTCCAATGCAATTTACTTTCTAATCCTTGAGTTTAATGAATTGGTTAAAAAAAACCTCAAAACATCAACTCCTTCAGCAAATAAAACATTTTATATGTGAACGTGGGGGGGGGGGTTGAAAGTTTGGGATGTTAGTTTTTGTTTGTTTGAGGAACCGTCTTAGACGCGTGTTTCACATATTACAAACTATTCCACTTTCCAATCGCATGGAGTGCAACGTGATTTTTTTTTAAACACCATATGCTATGCTTTGGGAATATGGTTGCCCTATATCGTTCAGGGTAACTCACAATGCAACTGTGTCTGTTTAAACTGAATATACATTATCACTCTTAGATTTCACAACTTGTCTACATACAGAAGATGTAATTAAGATGCATCTACGATTCAAGTTCGTCAACAGTTCAAGTATACAATGAAGTGTTTAGTGATGCTGGTAGGTATTAAGATGTGGGCCAGTAAGAATGTCTTTAAAGTTGACAATTATAATAAACCATTATTATCTTTACTGACGTATCCAATAACATGTTTATCGCTGAAGGAGTTCATTCTTTTGAAGAGCTTTTTGAGTTTTTTCCCTCAACGATTCATTAAACTCAAGGGTTAGAAAGTAATTGAATTTGAAAGTCATACGAGCATGTTATATCCAGAGTTTCATTCAGTGGCCTATTTAGTTGATTGCCGCGTTTTTGCTGGTAGCCGTAGATGAAACGTCACGTGATATTAACGACATTGAAGCCTGAGCGTCCAAACCCAGACTTTCATCTAAATACAAACATATACTAAAACCATGGAGGTTCAAAAGTGGACATCTGCATTTGTTCTAACAAATAGCAGACAAGCTGATTGAACGTTTTGTTAACATGCATTTTCTACTTTGGGGCTTTTCTGTTACCAGAAACCTGACGGTTCAAAAAGGAACATCTGCTTTTCTGCTACCAGAAAAGCAGTTTTGAACTTTTGTCACTGTGGTTTAAAAGTTCACGTCTGCCTCTTTGCTTTCAGAAAAGCAAAAGAGGCCATTTGCTTTTCTGCTACAAAACTGAGCAGATTCAACGTTCCACAACGCAACTATGCCACTCTAGTACCCACCAAAAATGGTGGGTTCCAAGTCAAGTCACTCCGTCCCCGCCGTTACGTCATCACAGTGTAAGCCCGAATCTCTGTCCAATCCACAGAACGTTTTGTGCGCGAAGCCAGGCAATGAAGAATTTCTCAGGCTTCACACTAGTGATTGCCACAATTGGAGCTCAGGATACGGAACTCAACGGGAAAAACATCGGCTAACAAAAAAACACACGAATTGGAGGGAAAAGTCCTTTGAATCATTTCCCGAGACGGAGGAAGTTTACGCTCGAGAAATCGGGTCAGACAGGAAAACATTTCCAGCTAGTAATTTTCAAAATTATTTCTTGAATCTAACATTAAAATTATAAGTAGCCAATGAAAAACAATCCCTTTAAATGGAAGCAGGGTACTTTGCACAACACGCGCGACACCCGCACGTGGCGCTTAGCTCAGTACAATAGTTACTTCATATTATTCGTTTATACGCAATTTGTTTTTCAAGTTTATCTTGTCGCTTTTTATCATCTAATAGAAATAACACAACTAACCAACCAAAAACAAAACAAAGCAAAACAAAACAAAAAACACAGCGAGGTTCTGTATGCCCATACCGACCAGTGTAGCAATAAGCGCCGCCTGTTCGGTAGCAGAGAGACACATATCCACTTTTGAACCGTGCCACCGCGGTGGTTGTGGGAGGGGGGGGGGGCATTATGAGCGTGCCAGCACGAAACAGGGGCAAGGTGGGCCTGCCTTCGACCACTTTAACCCTTTCTTTTTGTAAATAAAATATCATCATTTAAACATCATTTCGCGCTAAAAAATCAAACCTAGGCTACAATTTTTATTCGGGGACGAAAAAAGTGTGTGTGTGTGGGGGGAGGGGCAAACGATATTAGTATTTCTTACATTTTTAATTAGAGACGACAACATGTACATTTCCAGTTTTTGATCTATGAAAGTTTTATCTATCTATCTTATCTATCTATCTCGCTCTTCTATGGGGGTTTTGCAGTTACGCATTTGCTTCGATATAGGCCTATCACAATATACTTTTACATACTAAACAACCACATTATTCGTTCATGGACATCAAATTTTCTGACATTCCGTCAGGGAAAAAATTAAAGCAAATTTTCTAAATCACACATCCCAAACACGGTACGGAACTGCATTGTTTTCCGCTGGTTACTTTCGTAAATCAACACGATTTAGTTGTGAGTTGTAACTGATTGTACCTTTGGTCGTCCCGACACTGAGCAGGTTTTGAGCGAGAGAATGAACTTGTCAGGTCCAAGTATCCTGCTTTTATTACAAACGACGTTTGCGGTTATCTGGAGTAATGGTCATCCGGCGATATTCTTGTCATATTCTGCTAGCGTGGTAATAAATAAATGTAGCACGGAGCAAGTTCGTGCCTACTTTGATATCAACACGAATTACAAAAATAACTCCAATTTGATTGACGACAAAACCACTTCAGATAAGTATAGTTTTACAAAGAATTCGATGATTTCCTTTTCCCCATTTTTATTCGTTGCATGAACATATATAATTTATCAATTTACGTCAGCAAAGATAATGCTAAATTAATACAGATAGTCAGTTAATTTTTTTTTTAATTTAAAAAGCATATTATTGAATTATATCAGGATATTACGAATGGGTCGTGGCAAACGATATCCCGCTTTGTATTTTATTGCTGTGCCCGTGTGGTGTTCGCATCTTACACGAATATGCTACCTTATCTTTTTGATTATGGGCGATTTGTTCGTGTAGGGCTTTCGTCTTTTTCGAAATAAGAATTTCTCTCGGTGTTCTTTCGAACTGAAGTTTTAACGAAGTGCGAAACAGCTAGTCCAGATTCCCATGACAACCCAGTACAACATAATCATCGCAAATAGTTTTCACTTCAGCTTTGAAGGATAATAACAGATAACTGTGTTGACGACAAATTTGAAATTATCGAAGAATTTACAGTGCAACAACGGAAGAATCTTCTGGGTCCGGCTGAAATGTTTACTCGATAACCACTTCTACTGGATAATGGTCGCTCACCGTCTTGGCCTGTGGAATTTAATACATTAAATGTCATGTTTTGGAGGAAACAACTAAATGTGATTTCTAAAATCAATCCTTTCACTTTTTAGTTTGTTTATTCGTTCGAACCCATCTGCATACTGACTTATACTTTAAAAGAATCCCTGAAAAATGAAAGTTATAGTTTGTATCCTTTGATGTAAGATCTCATAATTACTGTATTTTGTTCACAATTTCCAGAATAGTTCATTGCCCAGATTAAAATTAAACACTTAATAATCACTAAAAAAATACTAAATATCAGTACTGACCGTTGTCTGGTCCAGCCTAAGCTGGGAATCAAAGTAGTAGGTTGCAGCTGCACGTGAATTAGCGATCATACCAGATCCTGCCACAACAATCCTGACAAATCAACAAGATTTACTTGATTATAATGATACTCTAAATTAAAGGGGGAAAAGGACTGTATACAGATTTGACCGGATGAAAAGTCGATTTGACGGAAACGTCTTTACTTACACATGGTTTGCTTGTAATTCAAAAAGAATTTTGTTTGTTTTGTAACGCTTACGTATTTACTACTCAGACATAAGCATATTTATTTAATATTTTATTGCATATCAATCTCGTTTAAGGTTAATTCCTTAACACGCACGTAAGTTTGTTTTAGTATTTGAACGCCCAATCTCATTCACAAAAAAAATATCATCATACAGTCACTTATTTACGACATTCAAACCTATGAATATGGTGCAGATTGTTGTTCGTAATCCATTTTCGTCAAATCGAATCCTTTTCCAATCGTAAAGACTACTGATCCGCACCTATCGTACGCACAGTCCGTGCTAGAGACAGTGGTGTCAGCAGAGTCAGAGATCAACCAGGCGAAGCGAGACTCAGTTCGTAGACGGATGTTGGACCACTTGGAGGAACTGACGTAGCTGCAGTCAGCATTGAAATCGCCCGCTATCATCACATCCTATAGAAGGAGTACAAAGACACCAAGTATGACTGGAAATGAAGGTCAAAGGTCACCAGAAGAATAGGACGGAAAAGATCACGTTAACAAATGAGCCAGGTGAGGCGAGGACCATTAGTCGACCATTACGCCTGCGCACTGATGGCAACGCGCGAACGCCTCTAGTCGAACGATGGTCGATGCAACCGTGCCGCATGTTCCGGTTCCAAATACATGTAGTTGACTATAGTTCAACCATCCTTCGTTCGAGCGAAGTACTTCGAACTGTGGTTAACTATTTATTTCGCCCCGAAATTGCTCAAAGTTGTTTAGGATGATGATATTGATAATGTGTATGAATAATGTTTTGTCTAGAAGTGGGCCAAAGTGCTCCACTTGCCCTTGATTGGAGTTCACATTTTCTTTTGTTGATCTTAGTTCGAATGTCCTCTTTGTACTCACTGAATGACTGTCACCAGTTACTCTGAGTGCTCTGTGACCAGCTTTATAGGCTTGCCTTGTCTTGTTCTGGTGGTGCAAACCGGTAGTTGCTTCATTGTCTTATGATTGTGTCTAAATACTTACCTGCAATCCCCAGGTGTCTACAATGTGGTCATACACCTCACTAAGGTAGTCCAATTCAGTGACTGCATCATCTGGCTTGATATGAATACCGGCCACAGCAAACTCGGACAGACCTGCTCCAAACATTGCACCAATGAATCAACAAGCATCTTTAAAGTGGTAATATGATCATTATTTAGGATTAGATTAAACCTCCTTTTCCCCCGGGGTTTAACGAAACGTCTGCCGTAATACAGCAGTAGGCTGATGTCTTAGGGCCTATGAGTGGAGTAATATGTTTGATATGAATAGGCTATCACTTGCTATCTAGGGTCCGTTGGCTGTCTAAAACATTGAGAAATGGAATTTGAATTAATTTATAGCCCGCATAAAAATGTTCCATAATCGCGAAATGCAACTCACCAAAGCAATGGCATATTTTTTGGAATCGAACAATGAATGGTTGTCTCTCAAATTCATCGTGAGATTCGGGATATTCGTAGGCGTCAATCACGGATACCTTGCTGGGACTGTTTAAGAGAGAAAAAAATGCATCATCATGACTTTTTTTGGTCCAGTCGTGAGGTTTAAAAGAACTTAAGAATTTTAAAGAACTGAAGACTTGTCGTGGATTTTGTAATATTCTATCGGCCAAACCAACCAAATATCGGGATGATTGATGGAATAATCTGATTGAGGGAATAATTAGTCATGTGACTTCTGGTTGAAACTTGATACAAAATTATGTAGGTTTTAATATCGGATTTCGTTCTTTATCTATGCAATTTTATCGCAACTATGTCGGTTAAAGGACATAATTTGGAAATTCTGCCTGTCAGTCTTGTAGATTTTGTAAAGGCTATAAAATATTAATGTATTGACATGAAGATTTCGAGGTTTCCTTTTCTATTTGATCTGTTGTGCCTCAGGTTGTTTATTTTATCTCTCTCAAACTTTACGACTTTCAGAGTAACATTGTCGTGGATTGTGACAACATTGAATGGAATACAGTTGAAGAGAACAGCCCTCCTGATAGACAGACGTATAGACAGCCCGACAGACAGACAGACAGACAGTACGTTATCTACTACGACAAAGTTAACGATCACAACAGAGCTTCTCTTACTTGTAGAAGTAAACATACTGCTCCTTGTAAGATGATCGACCCATACGGGAGCTGATGATGAAGTCGTATGTGTGTTGGGAGTATCTGCAATACAGCATTAGGGAAAATGCAGATATATTATGATGGAGTTTTACCTAAGACTGGATAATTATACAATAAAAAGAAGAAGGGCAGTAAACTCTTCAAATTTATTTGACGAGAATAAAACAGTCGAGGTATTGCAGATCAGGTGGATGCAACTCAAAAGCAGTGACAAAAACTCATTGTATAAATCGCACGTCAGGAAAATCTACAGTGAACGGGAATCTAGCCCAAGCTAAAGTTATTGGCGCGTGTTTTCCGTATTTGGTGAGGCTAGATTTTTCGGAAAGATAGTCATTACTTATGATATGATTTGTTCTTATAGATTGAGAGGACCTCAGGAAAAAAACACCAAAATTACAATTATTTAAGGCGGGTGACAATTTAATGAATCACAAGCCAAGTTGTACGTGTGTTCAGGGACCCAAACCGCCGCCACATGTGGATGTTTACAAATTTCACATAGGCTAATCGGACGGTTAGACGGTAATGGCCGTGTATGGACATCTTCGGGCAATGGACGAACTTCAGCAATAAACGATTTGATTATAAACTAAAATATTTGCTCTACACACAGTTTGATTTTGAAAACTGCCGAGGAACGTTATTACCGGCGAACCCGATCCAATAAGCCTTCGTCAACCTTTGACATAATTTCATGACCTTATTATTTTTTTTCTCACTCGATTAAATTAAAAATAAAATATATAACAAAAATAAACAGATATGTCAATAATAATGTTAAACACAAAGAAGTGACTATTAACGTTATTGTGTCGACGTGTCAATCAACGGAGCTGCGTAATCAGATAAAATGAAAGGGCTTAAGAGGTAATCAGGAGCTGGATAAAGCCGGAAAACATTATGCGTGAGAGACTGTCAGCTGACAAACCACCATGCGATACACAATCCCAAGATGAAACCAATGCGTCTGGCATAAAAATCCAGTGTATAAATTATGAAGGTATAGACCTATTACGCTCAAAACTGTTTGTTTATTGAATGAGTGGTTGTTGAATATAAATGCCATTTGTAAATTTAACACTGCAGTTTTGCAACAGAGAGGTTGTGCGAATCCTTTCCTTGGCTCAATTCTGTTCACACAGCTATACTTTCATAAAAACTCACATTTTGTTCACATGCAATACGCTAGGGGGCGCTGTTCAAATATAAATGTATGCTTTTTCGTTTATCAATGGTTTAATGTGGGGAGAATTACTATAATAGTGGTTATGAAATTCTGGCACTTTCATTTCCTAATAAAGTTCTTACAAAAACAGAAAACGTAACCGCCTTTTTGAATTTGGATAATACATTTCATGACTCTTAATTCTTTCTATAAACGCTGGTAGTGAGGTAACAATAAATTGCAAAGTTAAACTGTATGGTAACCTAAAAATGCTAATAAAAATGAGGGATTAAACATCATCACCGGCGCAAAATATTTCATTATGATGACTTTAAAGTGTAAAATTGTCTTACTCGTTCAGTGCGTTTAGAAGGTCCACAATAGCTTCGCCAGATGCATCCCGTAGCTCTTGTATCAGAACCACGTCGTAACGCGCCAGAATCTACAAAATATAAAACAAATATAGACATTATATTTCTCCTCCTTTTCGAAGTCAAGTCGCCCCATTATCTAACGCCGACTCCAGAAGCTTGTGACTAGTAGTTGGCGGTGTTAATAAAAACAAAACCAAAGAGATAGACCCAAAAAGTATTTAAAAGAAAATACCATGGAACAATGTTAAGCGACCATGAATATGACTTATTTTGTAGCATTTTGAAAGTTATCGACTTTACATTGACGAAAAATCGGCTCATTAAGTTATTGATTTATGTTGTTCAGCTTTTAGAGTTTGACGCTCGTATAACCCGTCGCACACGGGAGCTATCTGCTGAGCAAAAAGTCATTCGTGGCCGTGTGCCTTGAATAAATGGTTGGCCAACCGTAAATATATATGATGTACCAATAATCGGTACAATGAGCTCGATAGCAGTGCCGGACTAAATAGTACCTGTCTGGTCCAGTTGTTTTGCAATTTCTTCTAAAGCCTGCTGGCGTTTGTCCCTATTTTTGAAATCATGCTAGCGACAAACAAGGATAATATGGCCACAAATCAACCAGCTTTTCCTCTATAATAATCGCTTTGCTCACGAAGTGACAAAAACCTCGAAAATCGATAATTATTCGATTTTGAGTTTTACTAGCCATTTTATTATAGTTGTCTCAAGGAACAATTTGACCAAGTTTCAAGGCAAAATATTGTTTACTTTCTTAATTATTGTAAACAAACAATTGACAAAAAGCCTGAAATCGGTGATTTTCATTTTCACCAAATGTAAAAATGTGTAAAATGTTCTCACGAGTGACAAAAAGTCACTTCGTGAGCAGGGCCAGAAATTATACAATGGTCTACACGCGGAAGGATGGGAGCATACACGCGCGCGCGAACGATGTTGAAAAAGAACAGACGCGCGCGCGCTCAACTGTCGTGACGCGCATAAGTAACAAGTTTGTTGCGTCAAAAAAAATCCCACGAAGTGACAAAAACTGTGTACAAAGTAATTAGCAAAATATGGGACCCAAAGTTTTGATGTTCTCACGAAGTGCAAAAAAGTTTCATTAATGAATTACTGTTTAATTACGAACTATTGTTAACAAACAACTATGAATTAACAAAGAGCAAATCATATCCTATCGGACAATGCAAAAATTTCCGAATTCTGTTACTGCAAAGTGGTCAAAAATGTCTTTTGAAAAAATGAATAACTTCAAATGCGATTATCTCAGAATAAACTTTTGTCAAATTTTTAGGTTTTTGTCACTTCGTGAGCAAAGCGACGAATATACAGCCGTTGACAAAGTCGCTCGCACCTTCGTTGGGGGCCGCCATCTTGAAATCACGTGAATAGAGTATGTGCTTTCATTGGCTAGTCATTTTTTAAGGCTGAGCACGTAGCTCAGGTTGCCGGCACACAGTGAGTTTTTCTAACAGGGGAAATATTTGCCTCACGGTCTCGTGAGGCAGAAAACTCAGCAAAACTTTGACCACACACACAGAGTTACGTGCTGATGAGCAAACGGCCATGGATGAATGTTAGCTCAGCAGAGAGCTCTCGATCGTGTGCGGCGGGCTTAATCGTTCGGAAGCAGTGTGAAACCATAGAGATACATGTGTAATAATGTTAATATATCTCTATGCATGAGACTACTCAGCGAACATCACGGATTGTCGATTCACTTGCAGTTTGGTCATAGTACACGGCTACACGATACACGAACGACGATAACACGTACATGGGGAAAACTCCCAGACAGAAAATGCGGCTCAATATTTGTAAATAAAATAAAGTCACGAATTAAATGCTTAGGCCACGACTGTTATCCTACAGTAGAACATTAACTTTTTTACTTTCTAAATATCTTGTTTAGTGTGAGCATGACAAACAGACAACCAAGAATAAGGAATTATTACCTCAGTAAGGTAGTCTACCACCTCCGGTTTTCCCATCTTAGTCACGCCCAGAGTCTGAACGTTAAATGCTCCAAATAGCAGAGACCCGCTGATGCAGGCCAGACTACAACTAAGCAGAAAGGTCACGTACAAAATGGTCTTGGCAGCCATCTTGGATTCTTCAACAACTATCCACTAATTTCAGTGGTAATTTTGCTATGAGTATTCGGACAAGCCAATTGTGTTAAAGAGGTAACATTGGCTTAAATAGCAAAAACGTGTGTTACTTATCACAAGAAAACAGCTCAGTCAATATGGTATTATGTAATTTATGGTATATTTAGAAAGTATCTTTTAATTATCCGCGGTTTAATCATCTCTATGATGATACAAGCGAAAAGCTACTTCATTTTTAAAGCATGGCCATCACTCATGATCATGCTATCAAAATCTGTCCCGTCACTAAACCGTCTCAACACACAAGAGAAAGTTGAGACAAAACGTTGCACAAATTTGATTTAATGAATTAGCAAATTTAGTCAATTGCCGGCCTGGGACTGAACAAATTTATTATAAACTGAATGTCAGGAATTGAGCCAGATCTCGACAAAAAGTTGTGACGTATATCATAATTTATAGCCTACATTCGGAAACTGCAATTGTACAAAATAACGCACACAAAAGTTAAAGAACTCTTCATAATACGAAGTTAAACAAAGAACTTGAATTGGCAACGTTCGGAATACCGTAACGATGCTTTATCCGGCCCTCTATTGGCAGTTCCCAGTTTGTCAATGTCTAATTTGTTCCAGGGGGGCTAGTCAAAAGCTTTACACCCGTATATAGCCGGGGATCACGTCCAGATAGTCACGACTACCAATATTAGCAATGCTGCACACCTGGGAAAAAGCAAACTGTGATCACTCGGAGAGGATACGGTTCTTTTGTTACAAAGACATAAACAAATTGGGATGAATTACATTGCATTTTAAGGCTGGATACTCAGCTTGTCAATTTACAAATATTTAGTGTTGCAGAATACCTGCAGGATTGAAGGGGGCACAATCTTCTTATGGGGGCGCTGTTCAAAGTGGACGATCAAAGACAATATCGTGGTGGCGCTCTTCATTCCTGCAAATTTGCCGACGGTACACGATTTTGCCGAAGGACGACGATTTCGCCGTCCCGATTTTGCTTCTATCAGCGTCTCGATTTCTCTTTGAAGGTATCTTTTGGCGCGTTACTCTGCCACTGCACTACGCACCCCCTCAGGCTTAGCTACTGGCACGGGTGCATGTCATCAAGATTTTAAGGGGGGTACACCCAAGTAATTAGGCTAGGTCAAAACTCCGTCCACCGATCTGATGTATAAAAGTTATACACTCAAATTCTATATTAGAGAGTTTTGAGAGCCATGGAATGGGGAATTGAAGACATAATTATGGCAATGCACCTCTGGCCTGAACCTGGGGCTTCCAATTCTGAGCAATTTGGAGGCAATGGGGTCCGAATGTGGCGCTATATTTAGCCATGTTGTGGAGGGATTTTTTTTCAAACTGACTACTTTCCCAGTTTGGGAAACATCAGTCGTTTTAGAAGTGGTCGTCTTTTGGCGAGAATTTCTCCAAAAAAAGTAATTGGTCAACCAACCAAAAACTGAAAAGAAAAAGAGAGGTCACATGTTGAGCATCATCTTTCGGTGCTGCGTAAACACCTGTGAGAGTTCTGAGTATTTTAAAAAGAATCTTGAAGTATGGCGATTTAACATTAGTGTGGAATGTTTATACGGGGATGCACATGCAATTTTTGTATCGTCGATAAGATGGGACATTTACAGGTACAGCACCCTCATTCCCTCAACTGGACAGACGTTTCATCGTTAGTAATCAATGCCCCCCCCCCCCTCATTCCCATTGACTGTGCGCCCAGTCTGACAACGTGTCACTTGCATGTCAATGTGCTAGTAGGCCTATGAATACAACACAAATGGGTGCTTATGACGCCTAGTCTCGGCTATATTGTGCAGGAAACGTAGAGCATTGTTGGTAACATTATCAGTGCGCACGAGTTCTGCGCATGCGAAAACTTTGACCAGAACATGAATGATTCAAAATCTGTTCAGATCAATGGGGAACTGAAAAACGCCGCCATTACATGCACCCTTGGATAGGCCGCAAAGTTGGTACAAACAGACAATGTTGAATACAGGCCCTTATCAACAGGGTGTGCACACGTAAATTGTCTCTGTTTTCAGTGAAGAAGTGAAAGCTTCATGATACCGAGAGCCGTTAATTGGAAGATAGTCCTCAGGGCTCTCACACTAGGAAATGAAGCCCAGCATCCAGTTACTTGAAGTGCGGCGCCGAACGGAAATTAATTTTGAATGCTTCCGATTCCCAAAGATCTATGGAATTATCTCATTTCATTATGTGTGACATTTGGGCCTTCCCGAGGTTTATTGACCACCCTTTTGCTATCTGATCACAGAATCGAGAGGAATTTTAGCCAGTCCCTTTTCAGCTCTGTGAGAGTAGTGCTATAATTCCCTTGTAAGCTTTGAACATTAAAAACTCAGCCTCTTCAAGGCATTATTGATTTTTACCGCATCAGCTCCCCTTAACGAACTAATCTCCATCTTCTCACCCCAATTCACCTCGACTCCTCAAGATCATGAAAATAAAAAAAATAAATGCACGGTCACATCACCTTGATAATTGAAGTGGAATTTGTGTTTAAACATTTCCCCTTTTCTTTGCTTTTCATCAGCCATTCACCAGTGGTTTTAACCAGGAACTGTGCTCGTACCGGCGTGAAGCTGAAAACCTCTCCGGGGAAATTTAATAATTGCCGGTAAAGAATTTCACCAGTTGCTGGTCCATTCAGTCCTTCGATGCCGCATGCGCAAAATCATTAAATAAGCATGAGATCCCTTCAAAACGTGTCTTGATAAAGTACAGCTTAATGGTTTTTCAGATCACCAGATATAAATTGATGTATTTAATTTGCCGTCATTTCACCATGCATAATAAATCTACAAGGAATTCAATGCTATCTATTCATGGTCGTTTCTTGCACACAACAGCTGCTAGACTGCTAGTTATAGTTATGGGTTGGGGTTACATGATCATTGAATTCATACCTGATTTTTTTTTGGGAGGGGGGCTATAGATTAAAACAGGACTTAGCAAGTCTATTAAAGCTGGTCGCAGACCCCACAAATTATATTTAGTTGATTCAAAGTGGCTATCCGCTGGAAGGCTTTTACTGCATGTGTTCTTCAGAGCGTGCTATGGATTCATTATATATTTTTTTGACGTAATGGGGTAATCCTACACGAAAGCACTGCTCGGATCACAAAGGAAGGACAGTCGGTCGGTCAGTTGGTCGGTCGGTCGGTTGGTCGGTCTGTCGGTCGGTCGGCCAGCTGTCGTTTACAGATGTTTATAATGTTGATAGGTTCGAAGGCGCGTTTCATGAAATTTAAGGGCACCAATGAAGGAACTCCGTCTTACGCTATTTCCATTTTCTTCTGTTTTCAGGATCACTTTAAATCTTGCAACTGAAGTAGGCCAAAGTTTGGAGTACTTTCATTTGGTTTGACGTTATAGGCTTTAATATAAAGTCTCAGATAAACCGAAGCCCAAAAACGAAACCGAGGCTAGGGACCACCTGCCCTCATTTCTACTTTCAATTCAAATCTGCATTAAGTTCTTGCAGGACAAAACAGGTGAATTTCGAGTAAGAGAAACCACCTGTAGCGACACATACTGTCAATGGTTTAAGGAAACCTGTAAGATTCCCTTTGGCATATTCTTATTATTTTAGTCAGTGGTGTCCCCCCAGGAAATTCAAGAGCAGCCTAACAATACACTATGAAGCGTGACATCGCTCATAGTGGACTGGATTACGGCTGGACTAGGGCAACTATTTAAGAATTATTATTACGAAATAATATTTTATTCAAATGTATCATGGTGATAGGCCACTAATAATGTAAACAATATCTTTAGATTTGTTGATCCCTTTTCTCAGTAAAACAGTTTAAAATTAGGTACAGAAAATGGCATGCAATGATACAAACACGGACACTTCCATTCAGGCAAGTCGTTATTAATATCTGTTAGAAAGGATTGTTGAAAACTTCGTGTTTCTGTGCAAAAACCCAGCAAGATTGATTAAGTTGTCAACATCGCCCCCCCCCCCCAAAGAATCAAACATGCTACTTGATTGATTGTTTGAATTGCAAAATTCGTCGTGTTCATATATCACTTGCAGTGAAGATTTTGCTCGACCGTCATATTTTAACTTACCCGGAACCCATAGGTCACTTTCTGAACGCTTTTTTTTTAAATTTTTGTCCTTGGGGATTATAGGATGCACCCATCGCACCTTGGGCTACACATCGGGGTGGATGGGTGTCCCCATGGCCTGTAATTCCTGCCCCTTCCCACACTGAGCAGTCAACACCTGTCAGGTACGAGCAATCCATTATTACAATTTCTAAATAGCTCAACAGATTTGTCATTTTTATTTGATTGGATTAATTCTCTGGGCATACATTTCAACTGTTTGAAGAGAAACATTCGTCGATATATTAAAAAAAAAAAAAAAAAAAAATAAACATTCTGTTAATTTTGTTTGTTTTTAAAAGTCTGATTCCGATTGTTGATAAAAGTATTGGCTCACATGGGGGTTGCTCGAAGTGTTTCTTTTCTCCGAGGAGAATACGGTACATTCAGATTGACTCAGTACACGGTGAAATGAGAGAAAATGAAATTCAGCACAAAATGACATTACATTGTTAATGTTAATGTTAATGAGATGGGCAAATTGATAGCGAGGAAGAGTGGCCGTCGGTAGGTGCCAGAAATTGCCTGTGGGCGGAACAACAAAGCGTGAAATCGCTGGTTCTATAATGAGAACCAACAATGGATTACATTGAACCCTTCCACTCATTGACCACGTTTCGTTTTCTCTCTGTTGTGCAGCGCGTGCGTCTTCTTTTGCTCGACAGTTCGAATGACGCCATCAGAATGATGACAAGACGTCTGGAAAATTTTGTAGACTTGTCACATTCAGACTGAGGACAACCATGTATGAAGAAAAGAACAAAGGTTTATTGTTCTTTTTGAGGCAATCTTCAATGTAGAAAACTGCCCTTTAAGAATGTGTGCTTGTCCCATCGGTGGTGCATCTAATGATGGAACATCCGGAACGTCCATGTTCGTTAACCTACTGGCAATACA